ATGGAATTCAGGTAATCTAGGGAATATCCCAACTATGCCTTTGTATAAGATGATAAAAGGCACAAATGGTTTTAATCGCCTGTTTTAGCCACAAGAAGGTGACTCAGATGGAGAGACTGACAAGACCATCTCGGAAGTGCTACCTTCCGAGGTTAGAGTGAACGAAAATGAATCGGCTAAGTCGTTGCAGAAAATTATGGAAAGCTCAAGCGATTCTGTCTGTGGTCCTAACATCAAGGCGGAACCATTCTATGAGGAGATGGTGGAACAAGGGGCAGAGCTTGTTGACGGCAACGCCATAGAGAGACAGGACACGGAGCTCTGCGCAGCTATAAAAACGTTTTTACAAACAACTGGGAAAGATGAAAATGGGTTCAAAGAGGAGCCGCAAAGTCCAGAAGACGGCATTTTGGAAAAGACTACATTTGTCGAAGTCGGAAGTGAAGATGTTTCGGAGCCGCGAGACGAAGCTGAAATAAATTTGGTACAACGAGATGCTGGGAGGGATTACAGGCAGAGGAGCCAAGAAGTCAACTTCTCTGTTGATGAACGACCGCCAGTTGAACAAACTGACACGAGTGAAGTGAATGAGCAATCAGGTAGAGGGGATTTTAACAGCCACCTTGGAAAAGTGGGTGTCAATGAGACTAACAATGAGAAAATCTCACTTAATTCTACCAAAAGTTCCACCAAACCTAAAAGAAAGTTGAAAAAATCACGAAAGAAAAATTCTTCTGAGGACCCGTCGACAAGAGTTGTTTCAAAGCCTCCTTCATGGAATAATGTGCATAGATCAGCAAAATTTGAAGGCACTGATGCGATAACTGATGGCCCTTCTAGCACTGAACAGGAAGTTCAAATTCTTAACGAGCATAAAAAAGGCGGGAATCTATTGAATGGGTTCCAAAATGCCGGTAAATATGACAGGGGAGTTGCAACGAAGCCACTTGCAAAGAAGAGGAAATATCGAGAGTTGATAAACGTTCGAGAGGTCAGCAACTCAGAAGGTCTCCCGGCTTCAAAAGAATCTGGAGATGTTTTATCTGCGGTTCACGCAAAATTCAACCATAAAGCGCAAATCGGTGTTAACATTCCTGAGGAGGAGGACAATTTATTCGACAGTACTGTCGTGGACGTAGATGAGGGTCAATTCGCCAGCGAATTTATCTACGATGGGCTTCTAGTGTACGACCTTCAGCCTGACGACGAGGTTAAAGAAGAAGCTAAACTAAAACAGAAGTGTAATGGTGGAGTGGAAGTTGAGAAGGCTAAAACGGACACCAAAGATGCAAGGTCCTCCTTACAAAAGAAAAATTGGGTTGTTAAAGCTGCCGAAAGCCTTTTGGAAGAAGTGCATCCAGTCGATGTTGATGAACCAATCGATCCTGCAGTACTTTCCAGTAAGTTGGATCACCATCAAATGGATCAGCACTGCATTGATGAAGGTGTGGCCTTAAAGAACAAGGAAGTACTGCTTATATCTTCCCATTTGTGGGAGGGTGAAGCCAAGAAAGGGATTTTACATGAAGTTGACTTGACGAAATGGTCTGACGAGAAAGACGCAAAGAGGGGCCAAAGTGTAGAGCCTATCGACGACACTAAAGATGATAATACCTTTATTCCCACTTTGAAAGAAAACGCCTGCCAAGATCCAGAGCAGTCAGTTGCTTTGACTACTGAGATGGATAAAGATAGATCGTGCCCTGAAGATGCGAATTCAACAAAAAAACGCAAAACGAAACCGAAGAAAGGAGACCGAAAGGAAAGAGACCTTGATAGGAAGTCCGGAAATAAAGAAGCTGTGCTTTCTGAAAATCTTGCGGTAAGTGATAAAGTTCGAGTAGGTAACGAGGCTGTTTCCCCTGCAAATGAGTTCAACGCGTATGTGGATAAAGATGGTTTAGAAATAAAGCCAAAGCTTCAGTCAGACCTATCGGATCTCGATGAAGACTTGCTTAGACACTTGGAAGAAAATGTTCATTCAGGAGGGCGCAAAATCGAGATTCAGGGAGGCGACATGGATACACTTGAAGAGACAAGCACTGAAGATAAGGGTTTAGAATCCAATGGACTTGGAACGGTTGATACATGGAACGATTTGCTTTCTTCAAAAGAATTTGAGATATATTCAAAAGAAGAAAAAGGGAAAAGGATAACTGTTAAAATGGACCACCTCGAAGGCTTCGGTAGTAGAGATGTCCTGAGAGAGTGCACAAACGAGGATGCAGAATCTCAAGGACATCTTGCAGAAGCCCGCGACAGTTCGGATGAAATCTACCAATCTGGAACTATTCAGAGAGTGGATGCTTCATCATCTTCGAAGGCACCTGAAGTGCCCTCTATAAAAGGCGGGAAGAAGAAAAGGCACCAGCGGGGAAGGCACATCGTGAGTGAAGTCGAGGTTGAGGAATGCACCACTTCCACTGTTCCAGCTTCACGAGAAATGTCCATCATAGATGCTGAAGTGGACCACAAAGCATCTGAAGTGGCTGCAGGTGTGGGACATCTAATGCAGCCTGAAGAAGCTAAAGGCGCCTTAGATATCATAGGAGATGGCCAGGTACTTGTGTTAGAAACCGAGAAACAGCCCTCCACTGTTCTCAAGGAAGCCTCTAAACAAATTCAGCACCAACATGTGGCGGGTAAATTGAACGACCAGCTGGAAGATGAGTCTCAGGTCAACGAATGTGATCCGGAGGCTGGAGGAGAGACTGTAGACGAACTCAGGGCTGTTGCTGAAGCCAATGTTATGAAAAATTTGAATGAAGGCGAGGAAGGTGAGCACTTGCAGTATGAACATGCCACCGAAGGCGTTGGTGGTGAATTACAGCCTCAAACAAGTCAAGACACCATGAGATGGGAGGATTCAGAATTTCAAGAACATCCAGTAGAAGGTCCCGACAGGTTGGATGAATTCGACCAATCTGAGACTATCCAGAGAGTGGATGCTTTGTCATCTCCAGAGGTGTCCGAAGTACCTTCTATAAAAAGTGGGAAGAAGAAGAGCAAGAGGCATAGAAAGGAAAGTCACCCTTTTGTTGTTAAAGTCGAAGCTCAAACACTTGATAGTTCCACTGTTCTTCCTGCAACAGTAATGGCTGATCTGAATGATGAAGCAGAGCTCAACATAACCGAAGCATTTGTAGATGAGCAAGAATTTGCTTCTGATCTTTTGAAAGAACCCCAACCAATTCACCATGAAGTAGTGGTGAAAGAATTGCCAGAACATCCAGAAGATAGGTTTCAAATCAATGATTCCAAATCGGATGTTCAAGACGAGAGTGCTGATGAATCCAGGGCCGTTGGTGAAACTAGTAATCTGGTAAGTGGCTATGAATCAAAGCAACACTCGGCAGAACAGGAGAAGAGGGAGAAATATTTTGAAGAGGGAGGAGAGCGCACACAAGATGAAAGGGATGTCGAAGACGGTAGTGATGAATCACAGCCTCGGGCAAATGAAGAGGCCTTGAAAATGTCCACAGATGAGGGTGTAGAAACACCAAATGATTTGATAGAAGGTGAAGGTTATGTAAATGAAATTGTCGAACCTGAGAGTAACCCTATTTTTGGTGATTTGTCTGCTTCACAGGAGCATGAAGGAATTTCTGTGAGGGGCGAAGGGAAGAAAAGGCGTCGAAAAGAAAGGTACTTTCAGGATGAAGGGGAAGTCGAAACACTCGAAGCAACTGCAGATGTAGGATATCCACTGGAACCTGAAGATGATACAAAGACGAAGAATATTGCAACAAATGGCAAAGAATTCGCTTCTGGTGGTTCGGAAGAAGTCTCTCAACCAAGCGAACATGATTTGATGGAAAAAGAAACGCCCGGTCATCTAGGAGATGAGGCTCAATCCATCAAACATAAACTGGAGGTTCAAGGCATGAGCGCCGATGGATCAAAGCCACATTTAACAGAAGAGAACGAAAAGAATTGGGACAATGAAGAAAGAGAGCACTGGCAAGGTGAAGGTGGTAATGTAGGTGATGAAGATGAATTGAGACCTCAAGAAAATGAAGACATCTGGAGCGAGACCACAGATGAGAGGGATGCAAAACCTTTCAAACGCCCTACGGAAGGTGAAGACAATGTGAATAAAATTGCTGACCCGGCAACTATTCAAGGCGTCGATACTTTGTCATCTTCACAGGAGTCTGAAACACCTCCGGTGAAAAGCAAAACGAAGAAACAACACCGAAAGAAAAAGCAGCTGCTGAGTGAAGTTGAAATGGTAGTAGGCGTGGAACCGCCAATTCAAACTGAAGAAGACAAAAGCGCTTTAGATGTTGTAGTAGGTAGACAAGGATCTGTTCTTGGGATTGGCAAGCATTCCCAACCAAACGAGCAGGAGTTTGCGGTGAAGGAATCGTTCATTTACCTGGAAGGTAAGCCTCAAACGGACGAATGCAATTTGGAGGTTCAAAGAGATCTTGTTAATGAATCCAGGGGCATTGGTGAAGTTGATGAACTCCTGCAGCTAGATGAATGCGAACCACATCTTGGGCAAAAGGAAAAGGAGCGGAAGCATCGTGAAGAAGGCAAACACTGGCCAGGCGAAAGTGAGTTTGAAGGTGTTGGTGATAAATCACAGGTTTTGACAAATGAAGAGGACGATGAGGAGTCCTGCAACAGTCGATTAAAAGTAGGAGACGATATAGCTGAAATCGTTGGAGCTGAGACTCCCCGAACTACTGATGTTTTGCCATCTTCACAAGAACCTGAAGGACTTTCCATGAAAATTGGGGAGCGGAGCCAGCACCCGGAGGATAGCTACCTTCAAAATGGAACCGGAGCCCAGAAATTGGAAACTTCTACTGCTTTTTCTTTAAAAGAACTATCTGGCATGGTTGATGAAGGTGAGTTCGAAACAGCCAGAACGGCCGTTGATGAACAGAGGAAGGAGCATCATGAAGAAGAAGAAGGAGAGGATTTGCTGAATGAAAGTAACGTCGAAGGCGTTGGTGATGATTTGCGACCCCAGACAAATAAAGGTATCCTGCAAGAATGCACAAAGGAGGATGTAGAATCTCAAAAACATCCTGCGCAAGCTCGCTATGGTTCGGATAAAATCGACAAATTTGAGACTACCTATGGAGTAGTTATTTTGTCATCTCCTGAGGAGTCTGAAGCATCTTCCATGAAGGGTGGGAAGAAGAAAAGGCACCGAAAGAAAAGGCATTTGATGAACAAAGCTGAAGTTGAGGAATGTACCGCTTCCACTGTTCTTGCTTCACAAGAAATGTCCATTATGGATGCTGAAGCAGACCTCAAAACACCTGAAGCAGCTCCAGGTGTGGGATATTCACTACAATCTGAAGAAGCCAAAAGCGCCTCAGATATCATTGTCGATGGCCAAGAACCCGTGTCTGATATCGAAAAACAGCCCATCGTTATTCTCGAAGGAGCCTCCCCTCCCATTCGACATGAATTTGTGGAGAATAAATCGACTGATTATCCAGAAGATGAGTCTCAAATCAACGAATGTGAATTGGTGGTTGAAGAGGAGCTTGTCAATGAACTCAAGACCGTTGATAAAGCCAATGATATAGAACACTTTCATGTACCTAGAGCACATTCGGAAGAACAAGGGAAGAAGAAGTGGCATTGTAATGAAGGGGAGAAATGGCAAAAGAAAAGGGGAACTGATACCATTGGTAGTGAGTCACAACCTCAGAGGGAAGCGGAATCTCCGAGTCAACCCACAGAAGGTGAAGACAGTTTGAATGTTGCTAGCAAATCTGAGGCTATCCAGGATATTGGTGCTATGGCATCTTCACTGGAACCCGAAACACTTTCTATCAGAGGAGAAAAGGGTAGAAAGCAGCGCAAAAAAGCGTTCCCTCAGGATGAGGGAGTGATCCAAAGTGCTGAGACGGTTGCAGAGGATGAAAACACCTTGATCATCACAACAGAGGATGGAGCATCTTCTTATGGTCTCTTGAAGAAAGTCACACGGTCAAACGTGTTGAAAGAATCGTCCGATTGCTGGGAAGATGTGGCTCAATCCAGAAAATATACATTGGAGGATCAAAACGAAATTGTTGATGGCTCCAGAGCCATTGATGAAGCTGATGAATTGGAAGCACACCCTGGAGGACAAGAAAGGATGCAGATCCATGGTGAAGTAGAACACTGTCTAAATAAAAGTGGTGTTGGAGATGCTGATGATGTGTTACAACTTCAGAGAAATAAAGAAACCATGAGAGAGTTCACAGACGAGGGCGAGAAGACCAACAAAAGTCCTACAAAAGGTGGAGACAATGTGGAATTAATAGTCGAATCTGAGGTTGTTCAGGGAGTTGAAGCTGTGTCACGCTCTCAGGAACCTGATCCACATTCCTTGAAAAGAGGAAGGCGAGCAAAGCACCGAAAAGGAAGGCACCCTAATGCCGAAGCTGAGGCCCAGGAGTGTGTTACTTCCACTGTTCCTGCCATACAAGGAATGGCTGGTGCGAATGATGAAGCAGATCTCAAAGTATCCGAAGTGGCTGCAGATGTGGGATATTTGATGCAACCTGAAGAAGGCAAATGCACTCTGGATGTTACAGTAGAAGAGGAAAAATCCGCCTCTGATGCCTTGGAAGAAATCCCCCAATCAAATGAACAGGAATTAGTGGAGGGGAAGATGGAAGATGGACTTCACTCCAACCAATTCAAATGGGAGATTTTGGGCATGACCGTCGATGAATTCAAAACTGTTTGCCAATCTGATGATTTGGTACATTCCCATGAAACTGACAAAAAACCCTGGAAACAAGATGAGAAACTGAGCCATAGTGAAGTAGGAGAGCTCTGGCATGATGAACTTTGTTTGGAGGGCGTTGCCAATGCAACACAACCTCAGACAGATGCGAGAGACTTAAAAGACTTCACAGACGAGGCTGCTGGATCTCAAGAAAATCTTAGAAAAGGTGAAATCGTCGCATCCGAGGCTATCCCGAGTGTTGATACTTTGCCATCTTCACAGAAACTTGGATCACCTTCCATAAATCGGAAAGAGAAGGCCGAGATCGAAGAAGAGTCGCACCAAAAGGGGAACTCGATCTCTTCACCTGAAGACCAATTGTCGCAGAAGAAGGGGAAGACGGATCTGGATAGCGTTGTGGGTGGTCATCTATCAACCCCACAAATTTATCCAGATGATCAGTTAAAATCTAACTTGGACGAGTTTGCAGGATCTGACGACCTGTCAAACCAACATGTCAAATCCGATGATGAAGCCTCTCAACCACGATTTGAGGTCAGGGAAGTTCCATCACACCAAGGGAAAAAGAAGCCTCCAAGAGCAGAATTTTCGAGCGACGACTATAGGGATGAAAAAGTGTCCAATCTGTGGACTCCATCTCTACCACCTCCAGGTAGTGCGCGTGAAACTGTTACGAAGGATGGATTAGAGATTCCAGGAGGTAGAGATGACCAATTTGCAAATTGTGAGCCGTATTCGGCGAACTCAGTAGGTGAGAAGTCTCAGGCTTTGGATTTTGCTACCACAGAAGATTTGACAGTTGCGGTTGAGTACACACATTCACCTTTCATGAAAAATAGTCCAAAAGTCGACAACTTACCCTGCTTATCACAAGATTTGTCCCACGATTCGGATGAAGACCCATCCCAGACTGATAATACGATGGAGAATGAGGAAACCGTGGCAGTCATTGGCCGCAGAAGCACTCAGGAGGAAATGCCAATGTCAGTTGACATTAGCGAACCGTTAAATGGAAGAACTCTGAAGTTGAAACCATCCCAGGAGTCAAAGGAAAGCTCGAAAAAGAAAGATAAGAAGAGGAAACATCCCAAGGAAAAGTCTCCAGAATGTGGAGAACCGCTTGAAGTGGTGGATGTTGAAATTGATGAACGCCCTCCTCCTGAACATGAATCAGAGGCAGCTTCGACAAAGTGCGGCAAGAAAAAGAAGAAGCATCAAAGGGAAAAATATTTAAAGAATGTCCACACCGCTGAAGAAGATTCAAAGTCCCTTTCAACTGAGACGAAAGTTGAGAATCATCCAGCAGATAAAGTAGTTCTGGGAGGCGAACATGTTCAAATCACTTCTACAGCGCCGACTTCAAGGGAAGGGAGTGAAAGCTTTGCCGAACAGGTGGATAAATCAAATGTTCCAAGTGTGTCTTTAGGCACTGAAGGTCGAAGTCCAGTAAGTAAGATGGAGATGGAATTGCAGAAGCAACCCACTGCCGGATCTGATGTAGATAGGGAAAATGAAGATGGGAAGAAAAGCAATCAAGAAGGATACAACTTAGAGTGTAATCCTGAGCTTCAAAATACTGAAGCTGAGGAAAATCTTACAGAAAATAACTTGAAGCAGATCGAAAGTTGGAAGGAATCTGAGCTCAAGGAATGTCCTGGAGCAACAACTCTCGAGACCGTTGGTCCGAACGTGACCACAAGTATACCGATTCTTGGTGAAACAAAAGAGGACAATCAAAGGGCGAAAGAACTCAGTAGAAATAGTGAAGCTCAAGGCAAGGATGAGAAGGAACTGGAGCTCAGTAGGTCCCCGGATGTCGATGCAAACAAAGAGCAGGATGATCAGCAACTAAAAGAAGTTGATAACCCATTTGTCAGTATGGAAGAAGAGGGTGAAATCAGCTTGGAAGAGTTTCCTGGGCTCAATGAACTGGAGTTCTGTCAGAATCACCGAGAATTTGGTGAAAATTCGATCGATACGGGTTCAAAATTCCATGAAGCCAATCTGAGTCCTAATCCCGATGAAGAGGCGATTCCAGTCGCCGTTGCAGACGAACAGGCATGGAAAGACGAGGAGAGACTGGAAAACCGTGTTGGAGATGTTTCCGATAAGTACTTCGAACTGTCATTGCATCCAGTAAAAGATGTGGATGTTTTGGAGGATCTGTTTGTCTCCAAGGTGTCTGAAGCGTCTGTGAATCATTCTACTTCCCAGAAGCCTCCTAAAAGTGCGATGCCGAGAAAGGAAAGTCATCAAGGGAGTGAGATCACTACGTTAAGCGATTCGACCCCCTCTACCGTTGATGTGGGCATTGATGACCTTCAAGAAACCGAATCCGTCAAATCGATTCAGAAGGAAAACAAAGAGGAAGACTTCGAAGAATCATCTTCTCCTCACTTTTACAGTTCTACAGCCGGTGATTGTTCAGCTCTTGTGGCTGAAGAAGAGAAAGAGGAATTGCCTCCATATGATTCCACCTACGAAACAGAGGTGTACAGGCCCGAGCTAATTTGCACCGGTTTACCTTTTCCACAGGAATTGGGTGGCAAAGCTGCCGAAGCTAACAGGGGTAAAAAGAAGCGTTGGAGGAAAGTATCCACGACGAAGGACACAGAGGAATATTTAACGCCTGCCGTAGAAGCAGATGAGCAACCTGAATGTGTAAAACCGGTAGATGAAACGCTTATTCCCGTGGATGCAGATACGTCTCAAGTAGTTGGTGCGGACAAGGATCTGGTGAATAAAGACATTTCTCAACAAAAGGTAGAGAAGGAGAACACCAATAATGTAGTCGCTGCTAAACTGAAAGGCACTGAATTTTCTCCAAATGTCGTCTTTCAGGACGTTGGATCTGCATCTCGCGAACTTGACAGTGGTGGAAGGGTTCAAGGAACCGTCACCGGCGTCAAGACTGAAGAAGCATTTTCTTTGGAGCCTAACAAAAGGCAAGAGGAGAAGGGAAAGACAGCAAAAGGTGAATGCTCCTCGACCATTAATCCTCCTGAGATGTCTCACCTCTCCAACAACGGACAACGATGGCCGGTATGTGACCTTGAAATTCCAATTATTTTAGTTCTCTTTCTATCGGCTGGCATTATGACAATTTCTGGTCCAATTTTTGTCAAATAATATCAGAATGGAAGAGGGTGGAGGTAATATAGAAAGGATGGGATGGACGAGGCAGCATCTTAGGTACGCTATGACATTTGAAATCACCACGCGTGGGATCGCGTTCCGCATACCTCGGCGTCTTGCGATGGCAATAGGTCACCGAAATGTGCGACCTCCCCAAGATGTGCACTGCTATGTGGTGCAAGGATTGTGATGCATAACGCTTTCACAATAATCTGCCAGCTATCCATGGCCTCCTGCCTTACACCTAACTGCCTGTTTATGCGAGGCCACCCATGTACCTAGCGTTGGTCCGTCGACCTCCTCTAAACGCGTTAAATGCGGGTTGCGATCACCGTTTTTGTCTGTTGGGGTAATGTGTATATACTATTCTTTAAATCAATTAATTTGTCCCCATCTTCCCCTGTCCCCGCTCCGCTCCCCCCACTCGCCTTTTGTTGACTCATCAAACTGGGTTAAGTCCTTCCGTTTTTCAACATCAACCTGCATCAAGGCCACCACACAATCAGCGACTTAGGCTTTGCTGCACCTCTGTCTCCAATTTAAAGGGAGTGTTTGGCTAAAGAAGTGTCAGCTATTGTCTTAGCGTTATAACAAATTGAATTCCAGAGTTCTAAATTCGCCGTGGCGCAGGTGGCCTACATTAACCAAAAATTATGCTGGTAGAGAACATTAGCGGGGCGCAAGGTGGCGCCAAGTTTTTTCTTTTCGCTGAAAAGTAAAGATGCGCAATTGGAAACGTGCCTCACTCAGAAGAGTGCCTTTTGAATGTTCAGAATCTTACCGTGTCAAGCGGATCAAAGTTCACGCGTGTAATAAACTACTTAAATTTCGTTTTGAGCAGTAGCCTGATCGAGCTGAAAGGAAAGGGTGATAAAAGTTATCGTTTATCTTACATTAATATCTGTGTAAACACGACCAAGCGGGTCTCAGAAATGGAAGATTAATGAGTCTAAATGCGGGCTTCCTGCCAAGTTATGTGCCTGCATGCTGCCAACCCAACAGGCAACCATAGCAACTAGATGACACCTTTGATTGATTATTGTCTTCATGCTTCGGGAGAATTGACGTTAGTATGAAATATAGGACTGATGTGGTATGTAGGTGTGGTGAGCTACGTTTGAAAGGTCTGAATACCTAGGCAGTAATGGATGTCTGAGGTCAGGGCATGCATACATCAGTCAGCCTCAATAGTGCCTCCCATTTCACATGCACATAAATCTTCTCACCAAAAGTGGATGTAAGCAGTTGAGTGTTTTAGAACATTTAGGAGACAAGAATGTTGCATAAAAATATGGAATTTAATGTGTTTAGACGGTCTCGAGTGGTCTCGTAACCCCTTTATTAACGAGCGGTGTTGCAGGCACTGATACTTTGCACATCCGAATGGACCACTTTAACCGCTACTAGGAAACTGCCCAAAAAACCGAAAAGAAGCAGTTTATAGGAATTGCAAACTTATCTAACCTGTTAACTCCACAGGATTTGGTACCGATGAAGGGAACATATTGGTGACTCCAGGCTCAGATAAGGGAACATAAACGTCACATGTATGTGACACTGTTAGTGAACGTGTTTGAACTGGAGGTTTTTGAGGGATTTCAGTTGAGAGAGCCATGGATACCTCTGACTATCTGATTTTGGGTCTTGCTGACTTTGCCGAGAGATGTAGATACTCGATGAAACCCTTTCTCCCAGCTCAAAAATTGTTGACTATCTGGAATAGGCAGACAAAGTCAGTATTCTTTTTCCAACCGAAGTTAAACATTGTTGGTGCAGGTTATAGGCACCTTGTGCTTCCAAAGGCTAACTTTACATAACACAAGCGGAGGCAGTCTCTTGACGCCAGCTACTTAAATGCCCACTTATGAAATAAGTAGCATGTGCACTTATTCACACAAATATACGATAAAAACTAAAACCATATTTTTCTCCCAGTCAGGAGGAGGTAATTAGTTGTTCGCAATTTTTCTTAGAAAAGAAATAATTACATGTAACGGCTAGGTTAAAGTGGAACTTTTCCGGCAGCTTTAAATGGTCTCCTTTCCCGCCTTTTCCATAAAAAAACACATTAATGCCAAAGCTTTGTGGTTTGAATACGTCTTTTTTCAACCGCTGCAGTCTGCACCTCTTATTGCCTAGCACGTGAGCGCACGCACATGCATACACCCATCACACGTCAATCATAATTGCTGCGCAGGTAGAGCAATTCATGTTTATTTAGTCAGTAGCCAGTTCCTAGTGTGCAAAAAGGGTGAAATCAGTTGCTCTTCTACCCAGGCAAGTGGTTTCTGTACCTCTATTTAGTGTACAAATGCAGAAAATAGCTGAAGAAGTTCAGCCTTCCTCACTTTCCTCACCATTGATTGGTCCATGACCATTAACCAATAAAATCACGCGGATTTATGTGCAGTTAATAGTGGTGACACCATTTGTCATTTTGTGGAAAAGCACTTTAAATCGTCGGTTGCTAGAACTGGGACTTGGCCAGCCAACAGACAAAGCTACAATCGGGTGACATTTTTGACAAATAAAATAACCAATGTCTTCGGAGGATTTGCCGGAACTGATAGACTTCGAATTGGTTCGTAGAGTAACCAAAAACTACTCATTTTTTCCCCCATTTTACTGAGGTTTATTACCTTTTTTGATTTCGTACAATTTACTATTTTTGCAAAATTCAAGAATTTACATAAATTTTTCAAAGCCTTTTTTGTTCCTCATTTTTTTCCATTTTACCCTTACTAAATGGCAAAAAGTATACTGCTAAATTTAGAGTTAATTTCGATTTTGTGCCCCCCATTTTATTCGCCTATTTTTATTCCCTCTAAAAATATTCTACCAATTTTTCTTGAAAATTAAAGGTCAAAATAAAGCCAGATGGTAATTAACGCTTAGCATTAATGCATGAATCCGTAAAAGGGGCAAAAATTCCTCAACACGACTTACGTGCCTATCAGGTGAATCTGCAGGAGATGGAGAGGGAAGGCACGGATGTGGCAACAGACCCACAACAATCCCTTGGCATTGAGGTTCCTGTGGAAGTTATCCACCCTGAAATGACGTCAACACCGAAAGGAGAGGACCTTCTCTCATCAAAATCTTCGACGGAGATAATTCAACCGTCGGACGTGGTGACCTCTTCGCATCCGTCATCTACACGCAAGAAGTACGTGAACAAGGAGCCCTGTGTTGAGGTGGATATCGAAAGTGGACGACAGGTTAAGTTGGAAATTCCCCTTTTTTCTGTCACAAGCGTTAAATGCGGTTTTGTGGTTGCTACAACTTACTCGCTATCACCGTCACACATATGTGACGGACTTGACTAAGCAGAAATAAGTTAAGTAAAAAAGGAAAAATATGGTGACACTAGACATCATGTTGGACGACCAGTGTCCGGAGTTGTAACAGTCAATCTGCCTTTATGACTAGTTCGGCTTCTAAAATTCTTTTTTTAAATCAACACATCAAGTAATGTGCCACACCTTGCACACAAAGTGGGAGGATATTAATTTCATTGGCTACCTTACACACTCACGCAAAAATGACATCACCCAAAACCCTAAATGGTGGAAATAGATAAACCTATCAAAAGTTTGATAGGAAATTGTGGTTTATAAAAAGTCCAATCGGTGTTGTCCATTCCATTTTAAGCATGCTTGAAAACATTAGCGCGAGGTATTGCTTAACGCCCAAACTCTGCACTTCCAATGACGGAGAGTGCGTCAATGTGTTTTGGCAGGTCGAGAATGTGGAAGAAGCCGAGGAAGAAGAAGAAGATGAGGGCCCTGTTACTTCAACAGATCATTCTTTCACGTTGATTGAGCAATCTCCGTCTGACACTGATGAGGTGGATGATTTCACGGTTGTCGTCAAATCACCAGCCCCTAGAACGATTATTGAGGCTGAGGCAAGTTTATTTTCACCCATACCTCTTTTATGAACCTCCAGGTGAGATTAAAAAGTTTCTGCATCTTTTTAGGCACCAGCTGAACTCATCACCATACCTTCGGAGAGGTGAACATTCCACCATACCTAATCCATATATTTCCAGCTACTGTTAGCAAATAAGTAACGCTCTTTTTACATTTCAGTTTGCAAATTCGTGTCAAACGACGAAGATTGAGATGGCCATGCTTATTCCTCCTTCTCCTACTCTTCCTCCTTTTTTTCCTCATTCCTACCATTATTTTCTTCTGTATTACAGTTCCAGATTTCTGTTTTCTACCAGGTCCTTGTCCCGGATTGACCCTGCGTCAACGAATAAATACCTACATTCATGAATTCCATCGACAGCGGATGCCACCTTTCCCTACTTGAACGATGTCATCATTGCCATCAACAGCAACATCACCATGATCCTTATGATCAACATTGACAACCCTGCCCTTCCCCCTCCCTCCCCACTCCAACCTTACCTCCACATGTACAGCCCTCTTAAATGTGTGATTTTGATATTTTACTTATGTGTTTTGTATCATAAACATATTCATCGCCTAAACTTTCTCTGTAATTTACTTACGGCTACAGCATTAATCACTTTATCGGTTCACTTCAAGGTCATTCAGGAGCAGATACCGGTTTGGCTACTTCTAATACTTTATATGATTTGGAGAATAGCTCTATTATGCGCACACTCGAAGACATCGTGACACCAAGTGCTGACTTGCTGCCAGTGCAGCTTCATGCCACTCCTTACGGAGACCAGTTCCTGAGAGGGTGAAAGGAATTTGCATAATTGTAGGGTCGTGAATTTGGCCATTTCGTCCATGTTACAGGTGTTGTTTGTGGACGCAGTTTTATCTAGTTGCAGAAAATACAAAAGTTGGAATAAATTAGCCAGCCTTATTTGACCTTAGGCTGACCTAGTTTATTACGGCTGAGGTTTATGAGGGGAGGGAATTTCCCCCATCTAGCAAAAAAGTTGTTTGGTAGAACGTGTATTTACTTATGCGTATTCGTGAGAAGGCGTGGGTTGGCGGCTAATCAAAAGTCCCACTTCTGCGTGTTCGGAGATGACTTGAAATTTACAATGCCCTATCTCGGATAACACTAGGGACATGGATACAGAAAAAAGTAAACCTGCTTCACATTCCCTGTTGTATTTCCAGCAGTTCGAGGCCATTGCGCTCCCTTATTAATCGGTGAAGTTAAGTCGACTTGTGGAGAGAGAGGTGGATCGTGGAGTAATGCCATCTCATGGGAGGAAGACGCCATCTTACGCAAAAGTGGGATAGTGCTTCTCAACGATTGTTTCCCTTGATTTATTTGTCACTTTCACTGCCTTTTTAAGATGCATTTGGAAGTATTGTTTAAGTTTGGACGGCGCTCCCCACTGAACCCATCTATTTTGCCATTCGCCAAAGAATAAAGCTTAGTTAATCAAACACATGAAGCAAAGTAGTTTTCCTGGCTTTTGATGGGGTTTACTTTTCCAGCTCCACCATATTCCTCCCCTCCATTTCATATCACCGAATTCTGATATTGCTCAATCATACGTTTTGATTCATTTCACAGCAATGGAACATGGAGCCGTCAGCATTACATACGATTATTTATTTCGCCAACCATTTAATTCCCATTCTTCAAAAGATAGAATCGTTACAAAGCATGAATTGCAACTTTTTAAACTTTCATTTGCAAGTCCTCTATTAAGAGCCAGCAAATAGTAAAAGTTGACGGGCATACTTCTTCACAAAGTAAAGAATTTTGGAGAGACTACATCAAAGCTCGTTGAGCACTGAAGGACGCCACTGTAAGAGGGTGTTGTTTGTGGTGAAGGCCCCTCAAGACTGCACTTCATGTCAAAATTCTCGCGTAGTCAGTGAGAAGCGCTTGCCTAGAGACTGACAGCCTAATCAGCTGATATGACAATCAATCTCCAAGTTGCGCGATTTGGCTTGATAAGAAAACCTTTTACCATTAGGGCAGTATCAGAGACCTTCCCCGTATTCGATGAAACTTAACACGTCCACCCAACCACGCTCACTAATCCGAACTTCTGAGCGTCATGCGAACTCCATCCTGTGTCCATTCATCCACCCCAGACCCACCCATGACTGCAACACCATCAAGAGACGGCTGTGTGCGTGGTGCTCCCTGCAATCGGAGGTGCCAGACAGTAAGTAAACAATTTTACGTCATCCATGTAGAGACATAGCGCACAACACTACTTAGAACGCTAGATAAATCCCAAGGACCCGAAAATTCCATGAATTTAGACGGCAGCTTCTACGCAAGTAATGTTTTTGGGCAAATATTCCAAAAGAAAGGCTCTAACACCTAAAATGTACGCGTTATAGAGCACGGTGGAGTTCTGCGCACTCCACAACCAATGAAGTTCTTGACATTTTACCCTTCCAACCAGGGTGCAGAAGAAAGGCCTCAAACCCCACGGGACGCATTGCCAGCTCCCTCACCGCAGCACAAAACCCACGCCTTCTTGCCTCTCTTCAGTCTACAGCAGCAATTAACTACACCCAACCATGGTTCTGCCTCGTGATAACCACATCATCTACACTTTGCATCTTTCATGCCTTAGAATACCTTCAAAAGTAACTGGGATGCTAAAGCCTACGCTGGCTTACAAAATGTTTGAATTGATGTACCGAGAGCATTGGAGGGAAAGAGGAAATGACCATTCTCGGTGTGACGGTGAAAACCCGTCAATTAGCGACTTCGACGTCAAAGAACAGGAGAGAGTGAGTAATGGTATCCGGGACACAGAGGTACGCGAAACCAAGCGTAAACACCGCGTCTGAGGGGCATGTAATTACGTACCCGCGACCTGACCATTGGGTGGTTTCAGGTCAAATGCACTTTCAGCGTAAACAAGTGTTTCCCGAAAGTCAAGACAGTCAGCTTTATCCCTTTTTTCATTTATTTGCTCACTTTTGACTGACAAGTAGTATTGAGGATAGAAGTAAGATGGCGAAAAATCAAGTAGGTATTAAAGATAAACATAAAAGGCTTGGCAAAAAAACGGCATCTAGTGCAATTAGAATCGTGGTGAGGTGGGTTTGAGGAGGCAGTATGGCACCTTCAGGAAGGATGGAACAAGGGCTGCGAGACGTTTCCAACCAGCCACTTGCAGGAGGATTCTGGAAGAGGAAAAACTCAAAAGCCAAAAGCTCAGTCAACAAGTTCTTTACTCTCTCGATGTAAACTCGGATCGACTACGTGACCATTAAGATAGATTGACTAGTAAACAGTCTCTGGGACTCACTACCTTTTTGTGACATCCGTTAAGTCAAATCTTTTTGAGCTCCCTATCCATACAGACTGCGACTACCTCTGTCTTCCATATGGCAACAACGAAACTTCCAAATAACCAATCATTACATAATTTTCTTTGGAAATAAATCACTTAAAAAGAGGGGCAAGACACACTTCTAATGCCTCATGGAGACCAAATGACGTCACCCGCGTGGGGCGGCTCTCAAGGTGAAAGTGCCACACCAAATACGAAACAATTTTCCAAAGTACGTGCACGTGTGTTTCAGGACCCATCACTAGACCTACTTGTAGGAGCGGAAACTAACGGGAGAGCGACCGTCAATATCGTGAATTCCAAGACTGTTCGCCACGTCGGCAACAATAAATACACGACCTGAACGAGCCAGCAATTCCTCACGTGTTTCCATGGCGATAGCAGCAATAATTCGACCTGTGAGTTCCGGCGACTCCGCTGCATCCACATTGGGGAGAGGTGGGAAAGGTAACAAAGAGCAAAACACATGACTCATCCAAAAAAGATGATTCATAACCACACACATTCAAATGGACGGAAAAGAAGGATGCGGTACATGGGGATACTTACACTGAGTTTCGATGTCGAGAGGAAAGGATTTGCTGGAGCCTTTCATGTTACTAAGCATCATCTCAGTACGTACAAAACCAGGCCAAATAGAGATGACGGAGAGGCTCTTTTTACGTGACCGCAACTCCTCCGCCATGTCTGCTGTCATTCGATCAACAGCAGATTTGCCTAATGACAAGAAATTGAGATAACGTTTCAGTAGGCATTCCAACACATTCAAGAGAGAACAATAGTAACAAGGACGCACCAACACCATAGACAACGGCAAAAAAATGACGAAGACCTCCAACGGAGGAAATGTTGAAAATGAGACCAGGACGAGCACGCTCGGAAGGCTTTACACCATTGGCATTATCCTCGGAGTCCTCATTCAGCTCATTGCGAGAACCCAGCATTAGACGAGCTGCAAGAACGGAGCAGATGTAGTGGTTGCGGAGACCGACGCGGTTCACAGAGTCCCATATCAATGCTGGCGACTCGTCGGGACCCAATTCCCAGAATTTTCGATGTTCCTTAACAATCGCAGTAAGAACACCCACGCCAGAGTATACATTGTTCACCAAAATGTCTAGACGGCCGTTCTGCTCACGACGAATGCGGGAGAATAGATTTGTAACTTGTGAATCATCTGCATGATCTACCGCCACTGGAATGGCTACCTTAAAAAACACACAAAAAAATTTGCTCATTTGGATAAGTTTGCCTTGAAGGGAAAGGAGAAGCAAGTTGGGTGGAAGATGTGGAATGCGGACATTATTTGGGGATGAGATATTAGTGAAAGGCTTAATACAGGAAACTTACACCTCCTCTAGCAGTTATTTCTGCGGCAGTTTCCTCCAGACTTCCAGTGGCACCATCACTGGATTCATTCTTAGGTGTGAGGGTGCGAGCCGTAATGTAGACTGTGGCACCACATTCGCCTAAGCCTATCGCAACGCCACGTCCGATCCCTCTGCTAGCACCAGTGACCAGACAAATGTATCCACGCAAATCAGAAAGTCTTGTTGCCATTTAAAATAAAACTTAAGAGAGAAGAAGAATAAGGGAATTGAGAAGACAATAGCAGCGAAACTCAGTTTCTACCAAAGCGCAAACCACCCGACGTCCTCGTAACTGATAGATTAAAATAAAAGCAATTTTATGTTACTAGTTAGTAACGGTAGCTAGTATGTAATATCATAATAAAATTTTTCAATAAGTAAAAATTTACCTTTACATTTAAACAAGCTTGGTCTTTTGTAGAGTTTAAATGCAAATCTGGACTCAACCGGATTTTAAATGAAAGAACTTTAATACACCCTTTCAAACTACCTCATTCTGTTATGTACTGATACTGCTGTTAAATACGATAAACTGCAAGTTGAACTGTTAGAGGCTACATCAATTTAGGCAACTTATATGATCCAAAGCTTACTTAGATGCAGGTAATCTGTAATGCTTTGATGGCATGTTCAACCCTGGATTTGATGATTCTATTTCTAAATGTCCTCAGGTTTTACTCGCGTTAAGCAGTATAGCCTCCGGCTCATGATATAGGCCTCAGGTCTCCTGCACGTCAGTATTATGTCTTCTGCTATGCCACTGGCACCTTACAACTCTGGAGAAGACTCAAGAATTTAATTGGACAACAAGGCATACACATAAATAGCTTCTTTAAAAAGAGCTACAACCGTGTGGTGCGTAGCAATGTTGTGATTTCAACAACAAAAGTGGAACCGCCGTAGGTCTGACAGTTCCGGTTTCCGCGTTTAAGTTAGATTGACCACGTGAGTTAAGATATTGAAACGCCACAGTTGTGCAACCACCTGTTTATCTACGCAAACTTTTCAGTCTTTGTATGGTTCTTGGACCGCAATACCAGTTTTTACCCACTTCTTCCACTATTTTATGGTACCCTCACTTAGTACCGTCTCAGGGAATACTGAAGTCGCTGTAGAATCATTAATGTGGAAAGGAAACCTAATAAAGGAGCATTTCCAGCCTATAGCAATCAAACCCTTAAGCAAAATTTGAATAATTCCATAGAAATAGGTTTTATTTGTAAATCCCTGGTTATTTAACGATAGCGGTGGTTAAGTGATTAAGTATCCTTAAACAAGAAGGAAAAATCTCAAATAATACACTTTTTAGTCAAGTTGCATGGTTAATTCTAAACCAGACAAATTTTCCGAAATTTATTGCAAACAATGTGCGGATAAACAATCATTTGGATGGTATTAAGAGAGACTAGAATTTTCTAAAATGTCTCGTCAATCCTAGGGCAGGCAGTGATTGAATTAGAAAATAAGTAAAGCCGAATATGGAAATTCTAAAACGCTTTTCAACTACTTTCCTACCTTAAAAACGTAGCCAAGATGTTGACGAATTAAAGTAAGTGTATCGTCCCGGGACTCCCTGAAGGGGATACTTGACCTCAACGTCACTTATCCCTCTTGGCAGCTTGACTGGATCTGGGGTTTCGTCCGGCTTAGGAATTTGATTCAGGACGGGGAACTGCGCCGGCTATCATGCGTGTCCATAGATAGATGCAGGAACACTGGCCTAAAAGCAGATGTGAGTAAGGAAGTACAAGATTTAAAACAGGTCCAAGGGGGACGGTAGGGAAAATCCTTCACGAAACTTTCAGATAGTTCACGGCTAGTGCTGCTTCAGTTGTTAATAGCTTTTCTGCAGAACAGGGGACTGGGAGAGATGCCAAAGGCAGACGTCAACATCAACCCTTCTATTAGGGGTCATCACCATTCTCCCATCCGTAGCATATGTACTTCTTCCGCCCCACTAAGGCTTATCACACAGAAGTGGAAAATCAGGATACATGTCTTTCAAGACCGGGCTCGCTTTCCGCTGCCACCAATGTAGCGTCCCTGGGACTCCCTGAAGACGAAAGAAGACAAAGTACTCGGGCAGAATATATATATATTCAACACTGAGAAGGTGTCTGGGCTATTGGCATGGCCCAAAAGGCCAGCCCACCCAGCGAGGTACAAGGAGGCTAATTTGAAGTATGAAAGTGGCGCCTCACTAGAACCGATGGATAAATTCACTATCGTATTACATAAGTACAGACTTGCAGGCTCGAGGGTGCCGCCATTGAGGGTGGCGCATGTCTACGCACGCTCTAACGCAAGGTGAGGAAGACGGTGGCGTGAAAAGATTGAGCAGACTGCAACCACTTTTCGTGGCCTTGAGACGTCTGTAATGCGGCTGGCAGATCGACCCGAACTTGTCACTGATTTTCGCTGCTCTGAGGATCTCACATCAGACGTGGTGGGTGTGAGGTGAATAAAAGTGTGCGAGAATTTCAATGCTATGCTCAATCCGCCCTCTTTCGCATTTTTACTTATGATATTTTTGCCGTGGAAGATTTTTTTTTTGTCTTAGCAAAAAGGCTACCGAGAATTATTCAACTTAAAGGTGAGTGGTTTCTAAGGTATCAGGGAATTAAAAAAACAATCTTGGCAATTAATCATAAGTTGTGCCAAAGACATCAAATCCGACTAATATCGCCTTTCCGTATGTTCCGCTCCTTTCTTCCAGCTTGTCGGGTGTCAGAGAGAGTGAATGCCGAAGGCGATGTCAGCACCGATGGTGTCGCAGATGCATGAAAATCACCCTGCAGGTGGCAGAACATAAAGAGCTAATGTGGCGATGAGGCGACTTCTTTGAAGCCGTAATACGTCATTATGAAGAATTCAGACAATGTCAAATCAGTTTTGGCATTGTTAAGGTTTCCTTCTTAAAATCTACACTCTATAGCCTCTAGCAATTTCACTGCTTCCTCTCCCATGCATATCTCGAAGTTTCTACTAATAAAACTATATTTAACGTAAGGTTAAGTCTGGAATTAGATTATTATTGAGGGGAACGTGGGATTCTTCCTTGCGGAATCGCTGATCCCAAGTTGTTTGCAGTCACTGACTGAACTTGTGGCACTGAAATTATGCGACCAGCGTTTGACCCATTACCGCCCTAGACCTTGTCAAGTCCATTATTAATATAAGTTTGTCAAGTTGCATTATACTACTGAGTTGGACGGCTTTAATTTATCGGGCAAACACTTTATGACGTTGAGGTATTGCGGTGACTTATTAGTTACTTTAGTGTGGGCTTGACTGCAAGGCATCTCCAATCTCCACGGCATGTACTTCCGCCAGGCAAAATGGCCTTTTGACCGAGGTATGCTAGTAACGGTTCTGTCGCCCTACTTACATGGTCTATCACAAATTTGGGAAAGACTTGAAAATCTACAGGAGGGCATGATTTTGTACGTAACGAATCGCAAGTTAGAGAGGGTAAGGCAGAGGCGGAGGGAGAGTGAGTGAGGCATGCGGGACTTTTTAGCCGACTTAGGTGAAGCCCATTCGGGGAACACTCCTGGTGGCAGCTTTGCTCAATGGCCTGCATTTTTGGAAATTGACGTACCAGTTCATAATGCTGATTCACCTAGGGTTAGGGACGGTCAAAAATTTTCGCACTGCACTATATTGTTTGGTTTGCATTGTGCCGGTAAGGGTGCAGGGGAGATCAGACCCCATACTTTTGCCATAAGTAAAACACTGGGCTGGTTGGTATCAGATTCAAACAGGAGTGGGATGGAGAAAGGTAAAGGAAGGAGGCTACGCTTGCTCCGGTAGAGCCCGCTGTTAGTCTTGACAGTCTACTTCTTCCCGATGATAGGGAATCGAGTCGTTACCTTCAAGGGATACGTTTTGAACTCAATATGCTATTGGCTCTTCACGCATCGCACAAAAAAGGCATCATTGGCACCACCATCTCCACTGCCGGCAATGATACCACCTACAGCAATCTTCAGGTCGAAGAATTTGTCATTGCTTAGTCGCAAAGCGTGTTCCTCCAACTGGAATAACTCTCGGGGCAGTGTAAACAGCAGCGAGAAGACACCTGCCACCTCCGATCTACACAAGGCCCTCATGGCTATCTGCCTGCTCGTTATCAGAACCAACTTCGAGACTGTATCGTAGACCCACTCTAAGGCTTAGCCGTTCGCCTTCAAGATCTTCCGCTTGATGTTATTTTTGCGTATTTTGCATCAATTCTCACTTTTAAAGCGGTATGAGCAATGCAACTCAATGTGATCTCGTTTGTTCTTTGATCTCACTGCCTGATGTGGCTAGCCCAAGGCCAAATGCCACTGAAGTTAACGTTACCTGGGGAAGAGAGTGAGTATCCGTGTCGTTTGCTTATTTCATGCAAGCAAATTTCCACTTGAAAATCCAGTGGTACTCTCACCGCTCTGCGTCAATATGGAGGGAAGAAGTAAGCAGAAGAACAAGTAATCCTGGCACCATCTCCCCTTCAAGCTGAGCTCTTGCTAGTAACCAAGACTCGCCTACTTCATTATTCACGTCCTTTGGTTTGGGGACGCCTCGGAATCGCGAGCCTGAGGTTGCCGTTAGGAAAGCATCACTCCCTAATGAAATCCACACCTTCCAATTCCAACAATCTCATGTTATAGAGCGGAAGACCACCAACCATTCGTTGTAGATCCTTATGTCCCTATCTTCAAATTACTAAAAACGGAGAAACGATGAAAAAAATTTGGAGAAGGAGGGGGGCGATAGAAATCCTTCCATCAGGTGGTGGAACATCACTGATTTAAAATTCCGCATGGAGTTCCCTCTTCAACAACACTACCAACGTAGCTTCAGAAAAGACGTTCTGTTCGTCGGCTTTACCCGATGTCTTCGTTCTGCAAATTCCTTTTATTTTAATGTTCTCTAGCGGGTGACGAGGGCGAGGTGTTGGAGTATTTACCGATGCTGGATGCAAGCAAAGCATACATCGACACACTGCTGATGTGGAAGCGGTTATCGAGCTTCCTGGCTTCCTCAATCGTAGCAGGACCACCTAGAGGTTCATGTAAGGCCTTCCGTGAGGTTGACGTTACAAGGAAGCCGATCGCTCCCATACAGAATGTCAAAAAATCCAATCCTTCTTCCCTATTCTTCACATCCTTATTCCCTTCATGACGGACCCACTGTAGATGCCACCACGAATGGCGAAGTGGACAGTAAATAGCCGATGCAACCATTTCAAATTTTAGTTGTCACTTTATTTTCTCAAATTTTTTAGAAAACAAGATAAACCTTATTACTCTAGTAAATTTACCATGTGACAATATATTCCCTCGAGAAATGGCAATCCGTATTCTCGGAATCGCTCCACTTGTGGATACTTCACAATACATGGGTAAGCCTACCTCCGGGTGCACAACAGGACCCTGAAACAAGAAGACGCATTCGTTCCCCCTACTTCCGACAAAGCACGCCCCACCTGTGATGAGTGGAAGGCCCCACATCTTGTTCGAATTCGCTCCAACACCACACCGAATTTGCAAATGTGAAGAGACCTGATGGCGAGCATGCGCTCCAGGCCGTCGTTCAGCGACCGAGGAAAGAAAAGTTACCGCAAAAACCACGCCAACTTCAAACACATCGTCTCTCGAACGACTTCCTTAGCTGAATGCACCATCATCCTCCGGTCAACGTTGAATTCGTCAAGCTGCGTTCTTCCGACCCCACCCAAGCATCGAATTTCTGGAAACTTCATTCCGAACCGCCTTCAGACCCTTTGCACTGATTGGCTAGAAGCCTTTTCTATCACGGTCTGCCTTCGTTCGTCCCTTCCAGAGAACACTTCCCCATAATTCCCTTGGCTCCTCGATTAGCCGCACTGATTGCCCTCTGTAGGGGGCGGTGCGAGGAGGGAGGGAGAGTACACAAATTGATGCCTTTTGTTCAACATTGAGCACTCTCTCCACCGCCACCGCCGTCTCATTTCAGGAGGTAGCAAGTGGCATAACTCCACCTCTCCCTTCTACTACCGCTTACAATAGAGGATGAGCAGCCCTTCTCCCAAATGAAACCAAATGACGGAGACATCAAGGCACAGTATGGAAAATCCCCTAACTTTATACACAACAAAAATGAATGACGACTTTTTTTCCAGTGTATGAGCCACTAGTGCTCTCCAGTCTCAGTGGTACCTGAAACCGAAAAAAGGAACGCAAATTTAGGAAAGGCAAATGACTTTTGCCCAACTAGGATCTCCGACCTAGCATGACCACCTGAATGCAGGGGATGGAGAATTAGGCAAGATAATTAAACTATACGACGCGATTAGTCGAAGTTTGCATGAACAATTTCGTCGTCTTTCCCTAAAATCTCCTGAATAGTCATGAACGTGACAGGGATTTCATGGCCTTGAATAAACGATAATTCAAAAGCCAATGCCATCATTTCTTCCTCTTTTGTGCAAAAAGCACACTCAACTCACAGGAAGGCTTTGCCACCAGCTCATCCTCAAACTGCCTTTCTTCTGCCTCCCCTTGCTTCGCACTCTGTGCCAACTCCTTCCCCTCTACTGCTCCTTCGGCTGCAACTGGACTGGGAGTCTTCGCCTTTAAAAAGAAAGCAACATACTTAGAGATGCGCAAATACAACCACAAGGAGGAGGTGGGGTGGGGGCATGGCAGATAGAGAGCAGAAATGTACAAAATCGAAAGGCACCCCAACCTGGAGGACCTCGTCACGAAGCGGAGTGGCCGAACCGGAGGAAGCCACATCGTCCGCTTTCGTCTCTGCTCCCACCTCCTGCTGACCCTCCCTTGTGGTCATCGTTGCAGCTGCTGCTACTGGCGCTGCCTCAGAAGAGGACGATTGCAGCGGAGACACCTCGCGTTCCAACATTTCAAAAACGCCACGAGAGATGTGAGTGCGCTGAAAGACACACAGAGAATTAGACAACTTCTCACTCCTCCTGCCACATTGCCAATCTACCTACCTGAGCAGAGGAGAAATTGTCCACGTAACGACGGACCTGAGTGCGCAAGTTCGGCTCTCGAGTGAACACGGATTGCAGCTGCTGTGGTGGCAACTGAAGTAGCACCTGGTAGCTCTGCGGCTGCGTCTTCACACAGCAACGAATGAAACCATCCCACAGAACCTCGCTCTTCCACACCTAGGAAACACACATGCACACAAATCCACCTTTAGTGAGTGACTGTCTGAGTGGAATCAAAGACCAAGGTGTGGGCAGGCGATGGGGGATGGAGGAAAGGAGAGAACGCACCTGCTTCTGGATAAGACGAAAGAGGACGTTGATGACGTAGCCAGTAAGGCGAGGGTAAAGAGCCAATGCTTGCATGACGGTGCGTAAGAAGAGTGTCGGCACCACCGGACGGTCGAGCAGCTGTCCGATAGCCGCCGACAAACGCTCCTGCGTGTAGAGCGCACGCTCGGCGAAGCAGTGCAAACAGGCCTGAAGTATCACTCGGATCTCCACGTACGGCTTCTCTAACACAAAAATATCACAGCCAAGTGTAATGCTCATTCCTACTTATGAGCAAGGAGTAGGTCAGCATGGATTGACGTACTAGAGGGTTGCTCCGGGATGGCATTGGGGTCTTTGACGAATTCGAGAAGATGGATCGCCACGAGAAGTTCCTCTGGTGTCACTGGTCCCACAACTGCAGCCTCCTTCGAGACCACTTTCGACGCAATTTCCGCAGCACGCGGATCGGGAGCCGGTTGAGTGGCCACACTGGCTGGAAGAGCAAAAGGCGCATTTAAGGGGGAGAAAAGAAGCATTACCCACTCCATCAAGACGTCACTTCCCAAACAACCAGGTGTGTGTATGTGCTGTGACTCACCATGGAGAAGGCGGCTAATGACCTCCTTCACGACCTTTTCATTCAGCTGTACCAACTGCGGCAGCACCGCAATCACCTCCTGTTTGGTAAGGCCCACAATCACCGGGATAAGGCAACGCACATCGCGAATGCGCTCGCGATACAGCCGACGCACGCGTTCCACCAAAGCCGGTGGAGGCATAATGGGGATATTAAGAGAAGCAGGTGCATAAGCATGGGGGCTTGCTGGCTGCGTCGATGCCTTCGTGACGGGGCCTGCGGAGGGGGGTGGCGACGGTGGCGGTGCTACTGATGCATGAGCAAAGGCCGTTCTCGGATCAGTGAGAATGTGAATCATGCGTGTGACGAGGGTCTCTGCCCCAGACGGACAGTTGTCGAGGAGATGAAGAAGGTGTGGCGAGTGCAGACCGATTTCGCAGATCTACCAGTGGAGGAAAAGCGGCGACAGTAAAAAAGGAAGGTGCACGAGATTGCAAGTACACGCGCGTGTGGAGACTTGCCGAGGTATCCATGAGACGAAGAAGGCAGCGGCGCACGCTGTCGCTAGCAGCGACGTAGATCTCCGCCAGACTACCAACCAGAGCAAAGGGAGTCAAAGAAGACGAGGATAAGGGAACGAAGGAATAGATGGACACATCCAAATGGCATTAAAGCAAATTGGCAGTGGACTCACGTCAAAAGCAGTTTGCCCGGATTGCGAGGCATGAGACCGAGGAATAGGTGTGCACAGAGTTGACACGTCTCGTCAGTCCACTGAGAGGTGAGCAGTGGTGGTTTGGTCAGAAGACCCAAGAACATCTCGGCTGTAGGCTGGGGCTGGAGGATGTGCTTCAGACGCTCGATCGCACGATCCTGTTCGAGGAAAGAAAAGAAAATAAAGAATGGCAGAAGAGAATGTGGGCAGATGACACAAAAAGATCCCTGCGGAATTCGTAAGAGCAGTTGCGAATGGACCCGGCTTTTTCCAGGTAAGCGAGGACGGGGAGGGTGTATATTCACCTCAACGAGTTTCTCCCACCGCGGGTGCGAATCAGCCAACTGAGAGGTAGCTTTGAGGGCGGCTCTGCGAACGGTGGATTCTTCGAAGGCACAGAACCCCAAGAGGAGGTCCAACAACTCCTCACGTCTCTGCGTCGGCCTCAGCTCGATCAGTGAGCGAAGCACCTGCACGCAGAAAAGGATAAAAGATGAAAGGGGTGGAAGAGGGGAAGGAGGGCGAACAAGAGCTCGATTTGAATTAACATCCTGCCACCTCACCTGAAATCCGAATGTGGCGTGGTCGGGAAGTGTGCAGTAGCGCTTCAATACTCTGATCGCGTTCGCAGTCAGAAGCGGGGCCTCAAGCAATAGTCGACCAAAATACCTGTGACGCCGAAAAAAGCGTGTTTGTTTCGAACAGATACTTATCCCTACAAACCCTCTTTTTGAATATCCCAACTTTAACTTGGAGTATCAATAAGACAGTTTGGTAAACCGCTGAACAGGAGAAATTTGCGCACATATACCGAACATAACTTGAAAGTAGAAACTTACGGAGACTTGACGCCGGAATCCACGAAGCGAGTGAGAATCTCCGTGAAGAGGGCATCGTAGATAGCGAGGGAGCCGAAGTCCTGAAGCATGCCATCTCCAGCCGAGGCGATGGAGACCGAGGTAGCGGTGGTCGTCGCCGCCATCGTCCTTAAGTCACAGTCTCCTTTTTCCTCTTCGTCAGCTAAATCGCACCCTACCTGAATCTCCTGCGTCTCGCCTACGACCTCCACACCTTCGCGGGCTCGCAGAGCCATCAACTGTCGCTGTGATTCCAATAAGAGTCGTCGCGCCTCGTCTGCACCATCCTCTTCGTCGTCAGCGTCTTCTTCGTCGCTGTATCCGCCTTCCCCGTCTTCTGCCTTGATTTTGGTGCTCGTCAGAGCATTTTCAAATGCACCAGAAAGCCGGAAGCCGCGAAATGCGGTGTACTCATGCATCAGAAGATTTGCAAGGAGCTCAAAACCCTCCTTTGGGTTCTCCATTGCGTGAGTGATAAGAACTGGGGAGAAAAAAGGCAGACCCTTTCAGTGACCCACGAATCGACCCCAACTCCGTTTTTGCAGCACTTGATTACGCGTATAATAAAGCTACTTCTGCCAATATAATGTCCCAAGCAAACTAGCTTGAACGCCTTGCTGGCGACAGAGAGCCACAATGAAGAACTGCTGGAAACACCTGGGCTTCCGGCTGGGAGTGCAATCGCAATTCTTACATCAAGATGACAATAAGGCGGGAAAAAAGGTTAGGTAAAATAGTCCAAAAAAAACGCTTAGATCTAATAGCGTGAGAGAGATGGATGGCATTAAAAAGAAAAGTTAAAGATACTGTGAAGCAGAAGCTGAACATTGAATTCATAGACTAGTATCGAGCCTGTATAATGGAATAGCTACATTCCAAGAGGACAAATTAGTCACACCACCAGTCAGAGATATTACGATGTAAACAGATTGATAGCAAGACAACGCACCCTCATCTAAGCAAGGTCGATGAAGGGAGAAACTGAAAATGTATACACACCCACCGAATAAGGGTTCCGTCCCATTGTAACCGCTGAGCTAACAGAGCTAAGTTATGAACAGCAAAAATGGAAACGCATATCTTAACCACATGCACCACTTTTGAGCCATTAAAGTGACCACCGATAGATGGAGAAAGGGAGGAAGGAAGGGGAGGAAGTGTTTGTCGTTTTCACCGCTTACGAGGGTAGAGGTAACTCGAGGAGAGGCGTCTAATGGGGGGCAGACGACAGAGGAGTTTCACACGAGCCGCCTCGCGGGGAGTCAAGTCGGAGTGCACTGATACTGCCCTGGTGGACTCCTCCGCGGCTGTACGACTATGCGAGGCACATTCAAAGGCGAGGATACGTGAGAAGGCATCTCGTGCCATACTCTGACGCAACTGGGCGGGTAGAGGAGCCACCACGGCGTCGAGGGAGAACGGCCGAGTTTGGACAGCACCTATGAAAGGTAGCGAGGCAGGAGAGAATTTAAACTCACGCGGATAGGGTTAAAACAGGTGGATGGATGAGGGAGGGGGAGTTATTCAGAATGGATAAATTCGAGTGAATTAGATCCTGCATAGAAGGACGGTTTTAAAAAATAAGGGGGAACTAGAACTGGGAATGGATAGCATAAAGCCGCCGCGAAGAAGGAATGAAGAGTGGACAGAAAGATTTTTATGAGAAAAATCGACGAAACGGCAGATGGGTCAAAAAATGAACGTGGTGTAGATAAACGGATATATATATTTGATGCATGACGGACGGACCAGTGGAGGAGGGGAGGGAGGCCTGTGGTAGCGAGGGATTGAAGGTCATAGGTACCGATGGAGTGCTCTCTCCCGCTGAGACTGCGCCCCGCACGACGCTGATGTTCATCGGCTTGATGGTGGTGTGCATTCTAGCTGCATGCTCCTTCATGAAAGCAGCTTCGTCATCCTCGTCAATCCTCTCGCTATTCCGTTTGGCTGACTAAAGATTGGGATTAATAACTACTTAAGAACGATAAAAGCACTTCAAATTACCAATTTGGCTTGATAAACGGACTACCCTTGCAGAGCACTAAGAACCACAAAGACTATTCACACCACAAGGGGGAAGCAAAGTATTCGCCCATGCACTAGACGGGAAGGACAGATTTACGCCGGTAGAACTAACCCGTATTCGTCAGCATGAGTGTCCATTAAGGATACCAACGATTTCACTTCCCCCCCCCCGCTGTTTACAACGCATTTAAGAAGCTAAGGATAGAACCCACGCTGTTTTCGTCGAAAACGGGAACGAAAAGAAGGCAAAAAAAGGACCAAGAAAAGAGAAACGCACCCTAGGGACAGCCTTTCTGCTCACAGATTCGTCGTCATCACCACCACCGCAACTACCAACCCCACCGCCACCACTGTCTTCGCCCTTTTCGGTGACGTTATCCGCCATCAACTGACTAAGCAACGCGCAATTCTCGCGATTCACTCCCTCCTCACCAGCTGCATCGGTCACCCAAACGACAAGCTGAGCAGCCAGCAGACGGGCCAAGTGACGCACTTGAGTAGCGGTTCCTGCCGCAGCGATAGGTGTGTAGGTGGCATCGAACGCCGCCGGCATACGGGATGGAAGAGTGACCATGCTGAGGTGGGTAAAAAAGGAAGGAATATAAAAGCTATTTTCACCACTAACACCCCTACAGCAACACCCACTTCTTCGCAATCAACTCACTCACCTGAGAAGAACCAAATCCGCCACATTAGCGGTGGTCAGCTTTGGCACGAGGCAAGTGGTGATATCCTCAATGCTGGGAATCGCTTCCTTGTTGGACGAGACGACGAAGGTGGAGGCAGCGATAGTGGAGGAGCCAGAGTCGATGCGAGGCCGTTTAGCAACCCTTACTGTTTTCCTCTCTTCTTCCTCATCATCTTCCTCCTCGTTCCCAAGGTTAGATTGGCCTCTGGACAGTGAATCAATATGACCACGTTTGTTTGCGGATGATGCGGTTGCTGAATGCGATGTAAGTCTAATAGGAAGGACGCCGGAAATCTGGAAGGGCGAGAGGAAAGAAACAATTTCCTAGGTTCTTTTTAAGATTGACGAAAAAGTTGAGGAAGGCAGAGGGCAACCTCCTGTTGAGTGGCACCCAGATCCGTGAGAAGAATTATCACTCGACTCTGGTACCCTGTGTTAGTGGCAGAATGCTGAAGAAGACAGAGAAGTGCCGCCTTCAACTTCCTTCGCGCCGAATTGACTTGTGCCTGAGTGAAGTGTGGTGGGAGATTTACTAAAGAGGAAAAGACAAAGCGTTTGCGCACATCTATTTTTCGGAGAAGGGGGGAAGCAAACAAAACCACACCATGGATGGTTTCAAAGGACTGCACAGCCTCATTATAAAATTGCGGACGTTGACGAGCAATACTGACAACAGTATCAATAAGAGCATCGAAAACTATGCTGGTGACAATGGATCGAAGAGCATTGTCGTCTCCCTGCTTCAGAGGCAGCATTGTCAGGCCGGAAAGAAGTCGTTCAGCCTCGTCTGATAAGCGTCGAGGACGAACGAGACAAATCCCCGGTAGCGGATTGACCGAGGATGACGCCGTACTCGCATTTACGATGCTCTTCAGCAAGCTGTTAGGCAAGTCAGGAATTTGGTCTAGAGTGAGTTCTGTGGGGTGGGAAAGGGTCTCAGAATTAGGAGTCCGTCTGGACTGTTGTATGATAACGGCCTCAATGAATTTGATGATATCCACGCGAGCAGCATCATTGAGGTTGGCGCAGAGACGTGTCAAAATACTGGGTGGGGGTGGAGTGACAGCACTGCCCGGCATAACCGGCACAGAGGAGGGAAGAAGCAATCGGATTATTTCGTCCTTAAAAACAACAACAGCACGAAAAGTTTCGAGAGAAGTGTCAGCTAAGGAACCAGACTTAATACCACCGCCGGTCATGGCACCCGATTCGATGACTCCGCACTTGACAGCTCGAGTGAGAGACCGACTGTAGATCATTTTCATTGTCCCGATAATAGTTCGTATGATGCCCGAAAACGGTGGATCAGAATGAAGCGATAAGTTGAATAGATGGGACAAACAGGCAATGGATTTTACAATGAGGCTCCCGTCTGCTATACTAGAAAGGAAATCAGTGTTACGGTAATTTGGTCGAAGTAAACTAAGGAAGTAGTATGATGGTTTTCTTACCATGCCTCCTCAATAAACTTTATGACAAATCGCCTCAACTCATTGTTTTGATAGTGCTGAAAGGCAACGACTTCCTAAAGGTACAATTATGAATGTGGATAGCTCCAACCTCAAAGAAGCTATCAAGCAAAGACCGATCATAGTTTATAATCAATTCCTTTACTTGATGAAGGCATTCAATTTTTTCCCTCGTATCATTGGTGTATGTCGCCCTCCGAAGAATTCCCGCAACTCTATCGAATTGACTGCAGGCCATTTAAGGATGAAAACCGGTACTGATGAGAAGGCGCAATCGGTCGGATTTGATGACCTTGACCGGTACAGTGAATATTCCATATCAAAATTGCACTGAATTTAGTAATAACATATTACTGCAAAATCGTACTAGTAGAATAAATGCTCTAATTTGAATAAAATTCGCTGTTTTAAGGTTGCATTACTTCTTAACATTCTGCATTTAAATTGCAATCAAGTGGTGTGAAACTAAGCAACCTACAATAGCTGTATATTTTGTAATACGATAGTAGTTTGTCCCTCAATGTCGGTAAGGCGCCACTTCTGTGCTTTGATTAGGCCCCTTGTATCTCGCTGGGTGGGCTGGCCTTTCGGGCTATGCCAATAGCCCAGACACCTTCTCTGCGTTGAATACATACATATTTATCTACAGAGAGTCTTAGGACGCTACAATTTTGTCCACCTGCATGCACAGCAACATAGTTGCCACACCTACATGGTTTACCATCTTCCAGCCTTTCTCCAAAAAATCCTTATGGCCAACCAGCTGTCCCATGCGGTGATAAAATGTCTTTGTCTGGTTCTAAGAGAGACCTACAGCGCTTTAGAACTATTTAGGAATATTCAATGGACTGCGTATTTGTGTCTACGTACAGGAAAATTTTAAGGTAGCAATAAAAGCTATATTTGTAAATTGAAACCTTTGGTGCACTTTTTTTACGTTTAATATTACGTGTTTAACAATGCTTGCGTTTATAAGGGATTATCAATAGGTACCATACTATAAAGTGCACACTAAAATCCACAGTTCTTTAGGACATGTTTTAAAATTTTTCAATGGCAGTTACAGTTAATAGTACAAAAAAATAAATGTTTTATCATCTGAAAATTAGGTTATGACTATAATGATGCTGCTGCTCACTCGACCTTAAAAGATTTGCAAAGTTAGCATTCTGGCCTTGTTTCTTTTGGCGGGTGGGTGTGTCTCGAAGATGAGGCTCTTGCTCCCTTTCTTTGCATTTCATGAAGAAGTATCACCCACCCTGCAACTTTTTAGACAAATTGATCTTGACAAAGATGGCCTCATTTCAAAAGAGGATGTTAAAATTTTTCTTAGGCAATTTGACTTAAAACTAACTAAAAATAATTTGGACGTCTTAGCTGAGGTATGACTGTGCCCAACGAACTGGCATTTTAATAGGGTATTTGTTTTAGAGTTTTCTGGAATGCTGTGGAGTTGGACCCAATGGTCATGTCAATGCTAAACAATTTGCTCATTATGTCCACGAGCAGGACCGGCGTCTCTCGCCGATCTACGCCCAAATGGATCGAAACATGCAAGGCAAGGTTGATCTTTTGGATATACAGGCCTACTTCATAAAACTTGGCATTCCAATCGAACCGACTGAAGCCAAGCGTCTTTTACGTCGCATCGATAAAAACAACAACGATTGCATCGAGTATGAAGAGTGGCGTAAATTTCTCCTCTTTCTCCCAATTACTGACCTTGCGAGTGTCACTCAATTCTGGCGTCATGGTGCGGTATGTCAATTAATTTGTTCGCGTCTACAAACTCGTCTTTTTTCTTCTCATGCCCTAAAATATGCTTTCGTCTCCCCTAGATTCTTGACTTATCAGTGGATCCAGTAGTTGCGATTCCACAGTTTATGAAACATGAACATGCCTTAAGACGCGACGTCTTGCAGCTGATTGCTGGTGGTACAGCCGGTGTTGTGTCCCGCACTTGCACTGCTCCGATAGATCGTTTAAAAGTCATGCGTCAGGTGTACGGCTACAAGCATAAGCAAAGTGGGTTTGTTGAAGGTAAAGTGGTACATCGACTAACGCACCATTCAGCTTACCGATATATGCTGCGGGAGGGTGGTTTGTGGTCCCTTTGGCGCGGGAACCTCATAAATTCCATCAAAATCGCCCCTGAAACCGCGGTTAAATACACTACGTATGAATGGTACAAATGTCTCCTCATGGACATGGATGAGGATGGTTTTTTTGATCGGCATCCTGTCGCTACAAAATTTGCCTCTGGCTCCTTAGCTGGTCTTACCGCTCAAAGTGTCGTCTATCCTGTGGAGGTGAGTCTCGATATCCTTTGTTCTCGTTTTACGACTTACGCTGTCATTATCTGATCTGCCACACGTTAGTCTAGCCTTTTTATTAGTAAGGAAAGGGAAGGTGTTACTTCTTTATTAAGATAAAATTCATCGAACATCGCTCCGATATGATGGGTTTTGGCGTGTTTGACCTCAATTTTCATTGGATCGTCGACGTGAGGGAACAAAGTGGAGGTAAATGTATTCATTGTAAAATTTACATAAATTGGCAGTTGGTAATTTCCTGTTGGTTATTACAACAGTGTTGAGCCATTCAAATGCGGCAGTTCTTTTCCAAGCCACCAGAAGCCTATGTGAAAACTCACTTTTTTCCCTCAATGTGGAATAGAATTCCTGCCACAACGAGATATAATCTGGGATCTGGGTGTGGTTGGACAATTTGAAGGGGTGGAAAATGGCTTTTTAAACAGGCCTTTTTTATTCATTTGACCTAAAACAAGTCATGAAGAGCAAATGGGATGGATGGCTTTTCGATTTATGCGAGTTAAAAGTAGTGGCCGTTTCCTCGCAACGCCCGTTGTTATCACGTTATCTGGTTCTCCCGCATTCGATAGCAAATTTGAGCTCTAAACTCGGTAGTACTCCTGTTAGCGCGTTGTACTGTTGCGTGCCATAACTTGCTCAATTCGGTTGCCGAGTAAGACAGACGGAAATACTCGGTAAGCGGCAGAAACTGAGGGAAAAGAAGACAAATTGGTCCAAGTTTGAAAAAATGGGATTGACTCTGATTGATCAGACACTCCGCCGTAATGGGTGGTGCCTCCTTAGTAGCTGGGCCGGAGTCTGTGGGTCGTGCTGATGAATTTGAATTACCCCCTTGTTTTTAATGTAAACACACAAAAAATTGGATTGACGGAGTAAAAGTCATCATAGACACTGTTTTTTTCTGATTTTTTCGATGTAATACCAGGTCCTCAAGACTCGGATGTGTCTTCGAAAAACGGGACAATACTCCTCTGTGGTAGACTGCGCTGCCCGTATCTACAGAGAGTTGGGTATCCGTGGCTTCTTCCGTGGCTATGTGGTCAATTTGGTTGGAATCATTCCCTACGCCGGCATCGAACTGGCTACTTATGAGGTAGGCACTCTCGTGCATATATGTTTATGTGTCACACACACACACACTCATTTTCCCTTTTTATGTGTACAGTGGCTGAAATCGGCTTACATTCATCGCTACATGAGCCATATTTTACGACTATCACCCCGCGTCTTTCCCGATTCCAGGTAAGTGCTCTCCAATCCTACACTATAATCAGTCGCCTTATATGTTCATGCTGTTCAAACTCCTTCCAGCAGTCGTCCTTAGGAGACTTCCAGCCTTCTCTAGTTTACACCAACTAAGTGTCAAATTTTAATCACAGTCTGAGTGCACCTCAGGTTCGCAACGTTTTTCTGTTACCTTATTCTCACGTCTTGCATTTGGAACGGCTTCTAGCATCGCTTTAGCCCCCGAGCACATCTACAAACATAAATTAGTGCGTCTTCAGTAAACAGCCGTTCTATCGGTGGGTTCTTCATTCTATTGTGACAGCGTGCCTTTGAGACCTTGGTATTCCCTCGACTCGCCTCTAGAGTCGTATACTCCTTTGGAATAGTTTAACTTTCCATTATGAGAGTGGTTCTGCGTTTGTTTAAAAGCAGTTTACGAGATTACGATTTCGAGACGGCGTCACACCTACCTGTAGTCGTCTTTCAACTTTACGGTGCGATTTGATACGGCAAGCCGGAATGTTTCATTTCTACTTGACGATATGCTTCTTGGTCAGCCTGTGGATGGCAGACAGAATCGAGGTGGCAAGCCTGTCACTCGGTGCATTAAAAGAGGTAATTTTTGAAAGGTGTCCCTTTTGTTGTTTGAATTTATAGCAATACTGTTTGATCCTGCCACTGGTCATGCTTGACACTTTGGCTACACTAGGAAATCGCAGACGAAAGTTGAACACTCATGTTTGAATACATTAGTGTTCTACCATGACACCAGTTGTCAGCGGTTAGTCCGACTGCGGCTCGAAAACTGACATTCATAATTACCTTTCGCTTGACAAGAAAATCCCACATCCCCTTTTAATTGTTTTAAGGTCAAACAATGTCCTCGTGATACACGTCTTGGTGCGGTTAGTACTGAATTGGAAAAGCATTTTTTGAGGATTATGGCTTCATATCTTTTTCCATGATTGCGCTAGAGTTGATGGATGATGCGTTTGGAAGTGGTCACGCAGTCAAGCAGACCTTATTTCACGTGGGGTCCCGTGAAAACGGCCATCGTTTAATAGCACGAGAGATGAAGCCGCATCCCGGATGGAGATTGTGGCTCAACGCGCGGTTAAGGTCACGCCGTAGCCATCGGGTCAATTTTAGGCATGATATCAGGTCTACGTATGGTTTTGAAAGAGGCTTTGTCAGATGACAAATTCTGTTCAGTCAAATATCCCGTGCAATGGAGATCGTTCGGATTTTATCTGTTCAAGTTATTCTTACAGGAAGTTTTCCATTTGTGAGCTTCAAAGATAGCAGGCAAAGGTGGTGAGAGTGCGTGGATGTGTAGGAAACAGTGTCGCTGTGGTGATTAACGGAGCTCCTTATGAACAGGAGACTCCAAGTAGGGTAGTGCAGTATTGAAACGCTCTGCTGCTTAGCAGTTGAGCATTTGAATGCCAGGGACGTTTGGTCGCACGTTCCATAGGTAAGATCCTGTCAGCGGTAGCTCCATTTCCAACTCAGAGCAAATGGGCTGGTATTCAGGCTGTCAAATGCTGGAAATCAAGGAAATCATTCGATCTGACGCCTTAAATAACAGAACAGGAACTTGAAGGAGCCTGGCGCCAAGCCTCCGGCGACATTCTATCAGAATTGCTTTCTCTCTTTACAGCAGTGCCAGTCTCTACCTTCATCCCCCTTCCCATATAATTCCTTTGGTTGCGGCCACCTCCTCGATGGCAGGCATTGTGGCGACGTATCCTGTGGCTCTGATCCGAGCCAAAATGCAGGCAACTTTCTACTACAGCTCCAAGCCGTCCACTTCTCAGCACACAGGCATAGTCACCCAGCATCCTGTCACTGTGCCCTCCCTGTTGCGAGCAATCTGGCATGACGATGGCTTAATCGGCTTCTACCGGGGACTGGGAACCAATCTTGTCAAGGTGTTGCCTGCCACGGCTATCTCTATGCTCACCTACGAGACTATTCGTCGGGAGGTAAATTTGGGTCCCATGGGCTCCGGCTGAAGTCTCCGTCTCACTATCATCCCTGTGTACAGAAATCAGATTGTACTTTCTCTACTACTATCGGTAAAAAAGGAGGAAAAATTTGTTGTGCTACCTTTTTTTCTGATTTTTTTTTCCTCTAATTGTCCGGTTGAGGAGGTAGCACTGGAGTAATCCCCTCTCCCAACTTTGCGAGTTTACTGTTTTTGTGATGGCTTGAGGTGCCAGGCGGGATATAGCGGATTCCATCTTTGTAGCACTTTCGCATCTACTTAAGTGCTCTGGTGTGATTTAAGTTGGTTGTAGTTTTTTTAGTAAAAACGGTTCCCAGTGTGGTGCCTCTCTGTTACACAACCATTGCTGAGGGTGTGCCATTGCGGAACAGCTGTACTGTTTACGCAGCGGTGTGGTTGGACGACAAAGGACATGACAATGAGGTGGCTATAAAACCCCTGAGAGAGTGGAGAAGTGCGCACCTTGTTGGTTTACCATTTGAATGTCTATCCTGTGGACAACTTATTTGAGGCGGTAAGATAGAAGGGGACGTAGGGGGAATTTGCGTTGCTGGATGAGGGCCACTTCTCTATGCAGTGGGGAACCCTCCCATCTCTGTAACAATGGCTATGTCCACGAGGGGGGATACCATATCTCCGGACTGTGGCATATATGACTGCAATAAAAGGCGGACAGTGGACACCTACCTTAGGCCAATGTTTGACCAGCTGACCTCTGATTTCGTTATGATTGGCGTAAGTTGGCATATAGAGAGAGGATCCCAGTGATGGCAATCGCACATAGCCTCTCTCTAGCCTTCTCTGCAGCGAGTCATCAATCTCCTGCGTTTACGAATGGTTTATCTTTTTTTTATTTTGTGAGAGCCAGGAACAAGGGTGATGCAGTCAATTTTATGAATAAGAGTAAGGTAGCAGGGTTGACGTAAGGTGTTACGTCCGGTGGAGTTCGATGGAGTCACTGCAATCTTGTCTCTCCCCTGTATTGATAAAAGTGTATTTAAAAAGTCCCACTTGGGGTTTTACAAAATTTTACACTGAGCTTGCCTGTCGGAGAGCAGAACGATTCGCCGTCACAGTATGAAGGCTTCTGAAACCCCGACTAGTGCTCACTAAAATGATGACAGCCCCTAAAGTGTAGACGCGGATCAAGAGGGTTCTGGGTATATCGTCGCAGGATCCAGCTTTGACTTGGATCACAAATATGGCTGGTTAATATTGTGATCTTTTAAATTTAATTTCGCTGGAAAATGATCAGGCAACAAAAGATCACGAGATGACCTCAGCTACCGTGCTATCATTTCGACTATCTAATTATATGTGTGGGGTAAGTAATTACGCAGGCCTCGTAAATACGGGCGACATCACTTCATTTACTATTTGTTTAAATAACAGTTTTATGACAAAAGTTACTAAGCTCGAAAACCAGTAAATCTCTACTCATTGATTGGAAAATGGCACCATTCTACCCTAAAAATATTTGCCCATTTTGACGCGGAGTAACACGCTTCTTTGACGTCTAAACAACTTGTCCCTGAGATGTAGCCCTTTGTGTTTATGTACGCCATGTAGCGATTTTGCTACGTACTTAACCAATTTTAAAGACTTTGATATAACCCAATCAGCTCGGAGGTGTATCCGCCAATCAGATCACCGAACTCCCATCCCCGACCAATCAGAGAGCAGTGATGAAATGCATGTTTAATCGGCAAGCCCTATAAGGTGATAGAATTTAAATTGTAAGTCAACTTTTTATTTGGGGTCAGTCTACTCGACCTTAAGTGAGGTACCATCCTTGCTAGCATTACTGGATGGAAGAAACATGTAAAGGTGTGTGCAAGGCATTTGTCATTTTTAGCTGGCACAGTTTCACACTGGTGGGTTGGAAGTTGGCAACATCAGTCACGACTAACCCTGTATTCAGATGTGTGGGGGCGTCTTTCGTCATGCTGGTGTAGAACCACCTCAATGTCATGACATTAAGCGGAAAGGATTGTGTTTTGTTCCTTTACTAGAAATGCAAACTATTTACCTTAAAGATGAGGGCATGACATGCATTTACTGTTCACGCATTATCTTCCTGATAATTGTCGTGTAACGGAGCTGTCGTCTTCAATTACTCCCTCGGTAATGCGTAAGCTATAGGGACCATCTTGGCAAAATGTACATATGGCTACGACTAAAATTTTCCAGCCTTTCTGTAGGCAGTCCTTAAACTGTCTTCAATTGTACCATCGTGCAAAATGTCTTTCGAGCCGGCTCGAGACGGTGGATAAGAAGTAGCGGGAAGTGAATGGTGCTGATTCATAGACACATCCACTTTCGGTAATCACTCCTATCACGAGAACTCGAGATCACATTCATTAGCATCCAGGATTCTTTGGAAGTGGCAAAAGCATGCACGACGTCTGCCGGAAGTGAACAATCCGAGGCAGATTTTAGTGACCCCACCAGAGACTTTGCGAGAGACAGTACGCTTTGAAATTATTGGCTCCCTACTAACAACGGAGGGAGAGAATGAATATATATGTAATGTTATACTGCTTCATAAGAGTTGCCGAAGTTCAGTCTCGTAGATTCACACTGCTATAACCGCAGCTTCTTTACTCTTTAATACCCGGACCAGTCACTCCGGGATCTTTGGAATTGGGCGTAAAGGAAAAGGTTATAAAGCACTGAGTAGACTATTCATAAAGTATGGGATACTTTTGAAGAATCCCAAGGCAAGCACGGCACCTGGTTATCCTCAGTGCAATGTAACTGTCAGTATAAAAAGTAGCACATTAGTTGGACTACTAGGGACAGTTCCTAAGGTACTCGAATCACAGGTAAAGAATTGATGCCTAGGCTTACGCTTTCATGCTTTTAGAGGGCAAGGCGATACATTCCTTCCGTAATAAAGGCAAAAAACTGATATTTTCCCAGAAGACAAACAAACTGTTGAGTTCCACTGCTTTGGGATACGCAGTACGATTAAAATTCCCAAACTGATATCTGAAAGTAGAAGTCCACTCCTTCGGGGAACAAAGCTATTGTGATTAACCTCTCTAGGAGGTCTAGTTGGGATTGCCAGACATTTTCCATCACTTGAAGTGCATTGATGATTCGAATACTCTTGATGCAAAAGGGGTATTTCAGTGATGAATTATTTGGCCTGCAACGTTCAGACCCTCTCACAACCAACTACAGCGCGGTCGAGTATAATGGGTTTCTCTAAAGGTATGCCGTAGGTTTGATACAAAACCAAAACCCACAGAAGTGATGATCGGGTAAAACAATGAACTACATAATGTAATAGGTTGGTTGTTTAACTCTCGGTTTTGGTGAAGTGCCACTTTTTACTTGGCCATTGTACCACGTCAGGTAGGCTGACTCTCGAGCCATAGCAGTAACTCAAATATATCCTCTAAGTTGAATATATGCGTTCTGCTTAAGTATTGTGTCCTCTTTAGTCATCAGGGAAGTCTCGAAACGCTACGGTAATGCACATTGTTTTTAATACACCCTTCTGCCTTATATACCTACAGGTTAGGCGAACCTCACCAATTAGTTAGTATCGAATATAACACATGAGGAGACAAGCTCAGGTTCCCCATGAGGCAGTACTGATGTTAGGCTTCAAAATCCGAGGTTAACGAGAGGAAAAATTGTTTACAATAATGCAAGATAATAGATTATATTTGTTGTTCATGTTTGGCACACCGAATACTTGAAATAAATACTGTTGCTTACTCAAAGACTAGCACCTAGTTTACACAAATTAGAGAGAAGAAGCTTCTTTGGTAGAAATCGAAATGATGCACCACGGTTTAAATTCATTAAATTTCTGTAAAGCTGAAGTGCAAAGGCTTGATACACACACACTCAAAGTCATATTTTATGCTTTAAGGAAAAAACTGCATGCAAATCTCTTGAAAACTAAATAAACACAGAGCCCACTCATATGAGACTTGGCTGCGTTATAATGAACTACTACCCTTCCCCCCTAATTAAATGGCCATTTGTGATCTTTCGGAATGGTGGATCCGATAACTAGTATTGGGATTGTTACATCACTTTCAAAAGTTCCCAGCCACTATGTAGCGGTAAATCAGCTGCATATTTTTTGCATTCCAATATTTTGATAATCTTGATGTAATCTCACACTTATGTAGTACAAGCACTATTGGTAACTTTCGATTTGCATTCACTTTAGATAAAATGGACCAAAGACACCCATGAAGAAGCTGATTTAGGGAAAGAAAATATTTTGCGCAAGTCTTCTCGCTTCCTGGTCTTGGAGAAGAGGCCATGTAGCGTGAGTTCTCCTCACGACGTTCTTGTGGAACTAGCTATCGTTGCGAACAAGGATGCTGTTCCCCCTAACTTCACCTTAATTGATAGAACGCTGGACACACGTAAGCCTTTTTTACTAATGCAGGCTTGATATGTTTATTTCCGGTCCTTGTGCGTCATATAAAGGCGTTCTTTTTCACTTTAGGTGAAAGGTGCTTCAAGGGGAAGTATTTGTGTGCTAAATATGATGCGTGGAAGCCAAGCATGACCGCTATAACGGACGTTGTTGTTTTTAAAAATCCAAGGGATGCACTTAAGGGGCATACTCTGGTCGGGTGAGTTTTAACTTCGGTCTATTTAATCCCACGAATCCCAATTCTTTCACCTAGTATTTTTGTTTTCAGTGAGTTATCGGAACAGCGCGTCTTGGCATGTGTCCTGTCCGCCCTTGGAAACAGCCCCACTTCTAAAAAGAAGGCACCAGTGCTTCCATCTGAGGTGCCACGGAAACCAGTTATATACAATCGTGGGTTTAGCTTTTTCTTTCCCACCTATTCATGTATTTATCATTATGTTAGCCGCCCCTGTGCTATACGCTTGTTCTTTTTATCACTCCTATCGGCTCTTAGCTTCCACTCATGGATATTTATGCTGTGCCAAAGCGTTGCTAAGACTTCGATCACTGCTGAGTGGGCTAGTACTTGGTGTGAAATCTAGTTGTGACGTTTGTGCCCATTAACAAAGCACTTGATTTGAATGCGCTTTAGTTGCGAATCGGGGAAATGACCGTCGGTTTCCTGCTTTCATTTGTGTCCATATTTAAACCAGTTCTACTTAATACGACCCGCTGACCGCAGGAAGTGCCAATTTTTTAGTTTCCTTTCCTATTGCAGATAAATGCTAGATCATTTTCCTTAAGCTTGTTCCTCTTCTCCAGTGTTTAAGTGATCGCTGTTTGTTAGTTTCCACTTAATTATGAAATTCCCTCATATTTTGGCCGATATTTGCTTGCAAAACCCTAAGGCGGAGAGAGGGGATTAAGGGCACTTTTACGTTGGCGTCACATGTAGTTTCTTCATCTTGGCATTTGAATCTGATGGCGTTGATATTAAAAGATAAAATAAATAATTGAAAACTCTTAGGTCAGCACTCAGATTTGTTGCGTTGAGTGCGCGCTATGAGTGTTGAATTGTTCATACATGGTTTCAGCAATGAGTGGTGTTCCCTTTGAACTCACAAGAGACTGTCGAGTTGGCGATTCAGATGACATTGTGAGTTTGCTTTTTATTACGATTACTCTTTTGCCTTGTTTCAACGTTCTGCCAATTCCCCTCTCGTTCCTTCGCAGATGAGTCGTTATTCAGTCCACCCAAAGTCGCGCGAGGCTATAGAAGATCAGGTACGCTTGGGGGAAGTGTTTCTAGTCCATGCACAGCTGACTTTGACTGAAAGATGCCTTTATTTATCTGTAGTATTTCTTCGATTTTTCCCTGGAAAGGACTCTGAAGGCCTCCTGAAGAAGATTGCCGTTGATGTGGACTACAATATCCGCTCACGCATCCTTAACTTACTTTCTATTGATACTTATTTTGTCTTGAAAATTATGAGCTTGGCTGCACCCGTTTCGAATGTCTGCGGTAGCCCAGCGAGCTGGGGGGGGGGGTGGGCCAGGATGTTGGTGTGCGTATTGCTCCCCCACTGGGGGCCTGAGGCAGAGCGCTTTGGAGCCATAATAAGTCTGATGGGGTTAGGGATTTCCTTCCGAAAACAAAGGAAGTGTGAGTGAGAAGGCATAAGTAATGCACTGTACGAGTACAGCATTAAAAGAAGTCACAAATGGGGCATGTAGAATAAATCAGACCTAAAATGTGTTTTGAGGTAAAATAGTGGAGTTGTCTTTATTGTAACAACCTTTAGGGACCTATATATGGTTGGTGGGTAAATACTCATTCGTGCTTAAAATGTGTGAATTGTTTTAGCTTATAAAGCTTTGTGCGCCGAGCTTGTATAGCTACTTTGAAAGGCTTGGGGGCTTAGGTACTGATGATGCAAGTTGGTTTAAGCAGTCTCTTTGAGATATCTCATATTATCTCAATTTTTGGGTCGCTTCATAACCTTAAAAGCATGCTCCTACTAATTTTCCTTGCCTGAAGTTTTGATTCCCTGAATAAATGTGCTTTCTTAGTATACTGTTTTCTACCCCAAACTAAGATGCTGTGCAAATCTATTGTGTGGGAAATCAAATGTAGTTAAGTGTTTTTATTCCAAAAAAAGTTTGCTCACAGGTATTTCCTCTTCAACAGCACGTCGGAATATTGAATGGACGTTTGGGATGGGGTATGTCTCTTGCTATTTATTCCTACACAACCTAAAACAGTTGGAAATGTCTGTCTCTATTCCAAAAGGTGGAACAAGTTATTTGCAAACTTATCCCGCACTTTCTTTTGCAGTTTATAGACCAACTACGCCCCCTCTTACGAAGGAATGACAAAGCAGTTATCAGGAAACTGACGCGAAAATTCTTTGCTACCTCCTTGGAATTCCAAAGCAGTGTTCACACTGTAGAGTTATTAAAACGCTACATTGACCGCATCCGTGCCTCTCCTTTCCAGATCTACATAATTCTTCTAGAATTGAAACGGAAATTTGCAAACAATGAGTCTTTCACAAACGAAGTGTGTTCCTTGCTCCCCTTTTTAGGCCACTATGCTTGTTATTTAATGCAGTTTCTCATACTCTCTTGGATGTGTTTTTCCCTGCATTCAACGATTGCACGCTTCTCTTCACATTTGCCAAATTTTTTTGTAGAATTGTTTACAGACCGATAGAGGGCGCTACTATTTCAGGGTTCGTTAACTTATTCATCGATTAATTGATGCTATTGATTAAAATTTTGCTTCTTTAGTTATTTTACTATTTTATCCGGTAGATTCTGTTTCTATCGTTGATAAATAAGGGTGCCATCAACTTAAAATATTTAAAAAAGCCTCATTAATAAATAACATTTTGCATAAAGACAGCCGAAAGCTTATGATTAAGGACGCTGCCGATCTTAGTGGCACTTTTCATGTTGGCTATGAAGCTACTTTTTTGTCTTTATTTATAGTTCCTGATTCAACTGCTTGTGAACGTTGCATGTGCATATTTTAAGAGAACAATCCATTGTCATAGAAGTCGTATGCATAGCAAAAGTCCACAATGCGAAAAGCTTAGGCTTATCTTAGCCAAAGTCGGAGAGGTGTCAATCATGGAAACTTTCACCCGTCTACTGGGTTGCAGAAACGGATGGATCTTGTCAAGACATCCAAGACCTTCTTTGAATAGTTCTAACCTCATATATTTTCTTTAATGTGATACTGACGGTTGCGTCATCGAAGTGATTAATTCAGACTAGGATTATCCTGCACCTATTTTATAACAAAGTGCTTCCAGAGACACGAATTGGTGCAACCGATTGTCACGTACGTGATGCTGGTCGTGAACGTGTTTATCCCATAAAAACCGTACTTTACCGTCCTGAAGCACCTCTTGGACATGAAGAATCTATTGGCAACGTAAAAAATCTCTATAGCCTAATCTGGTGGCTTCGTTTTCATCGCCAGAAATCCCCACCGCTTTCGGATACTATTGATCTCTCAGTAAGTTCGCAAGATATCCCGAAACGAAGAGTGAATTTCATCACTTTGACTGAGCCAAACCCATCGGATCCGATCCGTCACCGGTGCTCAGAGAAGACTAGACCTTCAGAAATTATCACGCATGGAAAGCCAAAACGCCCACGTATTGACGAATTGGGGACTCCTCTTGATGAGTCAGCGGAGGCCTCCACCATTCCAAAACCGAAGTTGGTTAATTCGAGTGAGTTATGAGTAAATGAGCGATTAATCGCCATTTTTCTGCAAAAAATGATACACTCACTCCTAAAGGAGAGCATCGTCATTTTCTAATCTTGTTACAAAGCCTCTTGAATCGGTAAAAAAGCATGGTTTATAGTAGATCATTCTTAGCCCTATCCGATGCTAGGGTGAATGTAAGGACTACTTATTCACCCTCCTTACTAAGCCCTGAAATCGCTCAAAATGACAAATATCAGCTAAACTTTGGGAAGGTATGCCGTTAAAATGACTTCTAACACTTTTATATTCAACACGGTTGTAAGGGGGGATAGCTTATTACTTGTGTAGCATTATTTTATTATTACAAAACATTTTTACGCATTTAACCGTACAGTATTGGTAAGGTAATCAAACCCCGTCATTTTGTTAGTTCACTGCCACTGATTCTGTTTGGAATTTCTGTGCCATCTCGGTTTTATTTTTTTTTCTGTCCTCTGTGTTATTAACCATTATAGACGGAAAGAGGGGGCCACTAACACAGCGGGAAATGGAATCTCCCTCGCCATCGTCTCATCTCAAATTGCAAATTTTACAACGTCGGATGGAGGTGTAGTGATTGTCTCCTTTTTTTAGGAAGGGGTTCTGTTGACAATCAAACTGAGCTGGGGCTTAGTGATTTATACAATGAAAAGGCTATACAAATTTACCGTTACAAAAGCCGTTGTTACATCTCTAAAATAGCCCTTCACTGTGTTTACACATCTTTCCCCACCGTTTCACTGCCACTCACAGAGTAGCCTCCGTACAAAGGCCTGTTAGTACGACAGAATAGACTCATTCTACGATAGTTTGTTCCATTTCATCGCCACGGCTGTCTTTGTATCCAGTGTGCGTTCAACTTTCGTTGTTGACATCAATCAAGCGTCAGCGATGCGGAGGTCGTTTCATGCGTTCAAAAGACGTTTGCTAACATAACGTAAGTGTAGTTGTGCTGTGTGCTTGGAATCAAAATCAACACAATCGAGATCATCGCCGACATTCGCAGGCAACACCGCATTTAAACTTTCTTACCACTTTGTTAAACCTCATTGAGGGCGAACTAGCTATCTCTGCGAGTAGACATCCATGGGATCGGATTTTACGCATACGTCGTTCACAAGCGCCCTCTTTCCTCACCACGCGCTATTGTGTGTGCGCATTCACCATCACTTTCGTCCACCATATCGTTTGAGGTTATGTAGACTAGACTATCTTATGACTTGTGTTTTGTCTCAAATTATGCCGTAGAACAGGATTGCCAGTTGCTATTGCCTATGGTGCCACCATGGCAGCGTTACTTCCTATTGTATAGGTGCAGCACTTTAAAATCCATATTTTGCTTCAACTTACACAGAATTTTTATCATTTGAGTCTGACTTTCCTTGTGTTCCTGACTATTATTAGGTGAATGAAATTACAAATTAGTTGAATCCGCCGACAGTGGAAGTGTAGTCGTCTGGTGTGAGTGTGGCTTAGTGGGTGAAGGCCTGGTAAATTCCGTTTTATTTGATAGCTTTAATCTAAGTGTGGACTACGTTGATTGATTTGAGGTAGTTGTTGTGAAGGCACAAAAGAAATCGGTGTATTCGCTGTTCAAACTGAGGAGGACTGAACTTCTCGAAGACACTTTTCGCCCCCTCTTTTACCACTACACGCATTATCGAAAACAATTGTGCTTCCTCTCAACTTAGTTTCTCATGTGACCTATTCACGAGGGGTACTGGTCGCGTTTTCTTGGAAATCGCATGCAATTTGAACTTTTGAGGTGGTTTTGTTTCTGTGTTACTGCAGATCCTCTCGCGGATGATTCGTCAGCTGGAGGAGGCGGAGATGGATGTAACCGAGCTGGGTCAGGAGGAGTCGGCCTACCTGCGATTGGATTCCCTCAAGCGGGAGCATCTTGCGCTGTGGCGGCAGTTCTGCCGCCTTCGTGGCATCTCTCGCCACGCTGGAAGTCTTTCTCGTCTCCCCTTTCGATATTCCGGTGTGTTGAGTTTGACTTTTTCGCAGCATTTCCTTTTGTTTCACGCTTTTTGAATCAGTGGTCAGAAGTAGTTCCATTTTTTAGTCGTAAATTTTGCATAGGTGTTGCGCTTAGTGTGCTTCACCACTAGCGTCACGCATACGTGATACTGATTTTCTCAACTGAAGTCGCAGTTCCCACACTTAAGTCACACTCAGTTGAACAGAACTGAAATGAATTAGGAAGGAGAAGCAATAAAAGCAGTGGTCTATGTCTATTTTTTCTCCTGGAGTTTGGTAGCTAACGTGTGAAATTTTTATCTGCCCGACAGTGATATTTGACATGCTGTATGTGCGTGTATAAGCCTGCAGCGCCCGGGTCCTGCTTGATGACATTATGACCTGTATGTAAAAGAGGGATGTTGACAGAAATACCGTATACCTCAGCGACGGCAATTTGGTGACCGAAACGTATGGGGTCTGAAGATCATGTGCAGTTTACTGGATCGTTTTGTTCTCAGACATTCCTGTGCTGCCCTTCTGCGTTGGCCATCACAACGCAGTGAGTGCTTTAAACTCCACCCTCCTCTAGCCAGGGGTGGTAGTCATCACATATATGTGAAGGCGAGAAGGCACTTGTTCACGTCACTGATTCACTACTTCACCTCCATTGTGTCTGAAGCTTTGTTGTCCTTATAAACTACATTGGGACCAGGTGGATTTCCTGCCTCTATGCTGCTCAAGGCTGGACACTGCTCCTTAATGAGCGTATTTTTTGCCTGCTCTGGCTATTCGTGGGAGCATCTACTCAAGAGTAGAGCAATTTGATCCAAAATGAACTTTCAAGTAGCTTCATGGAACTAATATTCTGCTTCTCTTCTTTCTTACCTCATTATTATCGTTTCATTGCCCCCTGGCGGTCTATGTGGTGTCTATTTACCCAAGAAGAGCGTAGATGCTTTTAATTCATCCAAATACTGTGTAACTTCAGTTCTTACCTGACTTCTTGCAAAGCACGAGGTTGAGGTAATTGTCAAAGGTGTGTGTAGTTTCGATAAGCCTTCTCTGAGCCGTCTTCAAAAATTTATACGCTCACGGTAAATGCCGCCTTCTATAGCAGTTGGGGCCAAACTTCGATGCCTCCTTTTCTGGAAGCGAGTTCGCTTACCCCTTGCTACAAGTGTATTGTCCCAAGACATCCAAGAGGACGTTACAAGCGCATACCAAAGGGGTGAACCATTTATTATCTCCACAGAGAGGGGCTGAGAGGCTTTGGATGTGGCTCAGTGTCCATGTTCAAAAGGAAAACCGAAACTGCGATGAATAAAGGATCCAGGTAGTTAAATATTTAATTAAATACCGTTCTGCTGTCAGACATCTGGGACGCGGTGGTCCACCCTGGTGGCAGATGGGTTAAGGCACGTCCCAAAAAGTTGAAGCAAATTTTGATTAGGCTGTCGGTCTGCTTTTTAATTCTCGGCAAAATTGGCCCCAGTGACCCAGTCTGGAACTCTTTCTATCTGGGTGTGGTCTCTGTGATCCCTAGACTTCATTACCGATCATTCTAGGCTGCCTTTTATTGGTTGTACTTGAGATTGAGACAGAAGAAGGATAAATGATTTCAAATCCTCTCTAGCTCATTCCAATTTTAATTGATTGTCTGTGTTTTTCATCTCATTTTTTCTACTAAGGATCTCGTTTCGCGGTGATTAATCAAGCGGTGGAGCGTCAAGTAAACGCCTCCCACGTCTTTCCTGACTATGCGGACATCCACAAAGTGGTGGAAGAAAGCTCCATTCGCGAGAATCTCGGCTTGAGGCAAGTGCCGTACACTACTTGGACTACTAGGTGGGGCTAGTCTAGTCCACATACCCTTAACAGAGGGGGTAGGCAACAGTGCGTGGTGACGAGGGAGATCTTGTGTGAACGACGAATGCGTAAAATTCGGTCTTGTGGTTCTCTACCTGTAGAGAAGACTTCATTCTCTGTGAGGTTTGCCTGGATGGTGTAAACGTTTCAAAGACGATGCTACTTGCGACTGTTAGTGACGATCTCAATCGTGCCGATCTTGGTTTCGATCACGCAGCACACTAGTCCTTATTTCCTGTTAGGGAATGCTCGTTCAGCGTGTAGAACGACCTTCTCGTCGTTGACGTTTAGCCGACGTAGAGTCTGTCCTTGTGAGCATAATCATTCACGAACATGTGCAACTTCGAGAGTTGAACGTGCACCGGTTATCAAGGCGGATGTGATGATGAAGGGGAGAAGACCGCCTTAGAATGTCATTATTAAGGCATACTGACAGGCCTTTCTGTAGAGAAGCTGCTTTAATAATTTCTCTTCGCCTTTCAGTGCCAGTACGATTGCAACACTGGCTCGGGAAATCTTCACCGATGTGGGTGCCATCTTGAAACACCGTCGTGAGCGCGAGTTTCGACATGACTTTGGTTGCCATCTCACTGACGAACAGGCCGAGTAAGTGCTTGAAGATGTGGAACTTGTGTGTTTGTTTGGGTTCCTCACTTTTCCATTGGCTGATGTAGAGGACCAATGGAAACCTCGAGGGACCATATTTGTGTTGTTATAGGAGCAGGATTGGTTTTGCTGATTGGTTGAGGTGAAAGAGGGATGCTATTGGCTGTCTATTTCCCTTTATCTTCTCTTTTTTTTCCGTTTCAATGACATTAGTGCTGATGAGGACCCTGCGTTGCACAGCGCAGAATTGCGACGTCGTCTGCTGGAAAATAGACGAATTGCCACGTCAAAAATTGAATCCGTAAGTTTGTGATCGCTTCCGTTGCTGGAAAAAGTTTTAATGTTGAGTGGCATATGCTTGAGCACACACGTTGTCATTGCCATGTGTGCTTAGCCAAGTCAGCATGTCAAAAATAAGTGACTCATGTTCTTTACTGGTTTCCGACAACTTGTTGTACCAAATCGTGTGTCCCAAATTGGTTGATTTGAAAGCGTTAAACTATATGCAAGATTTCTCTCCATGCGCAGAGCTGCACTTTTGAATATTTTTTGAGTGGTAGCAGTTTGGCAGTCTAAGTGCTAGTGCCCATTTGAAGACTGGAGCATGTGGTAGCGAGCGTGTTAAATTTAACCTGATGAGAAGCAAATTTGGCATCAAATTCGTTTGTGCTAATCTGCTTAAGTTGGTAAAGCTTGAATTTTGTGTTTTCAAACTCCAATGGAGTAATCACGATGTTCTTTGGATCTTTTTAAATATTTAATACATGTGATTATTGGGTCGAGTCGAGCCTGTCAGTTTAGTACCAATAAAATGGATTCAGTTCCAGCGGTATGGCACAGTAGTCCGCTTCCAGCGTGACTTATTACGAACTCTAGTAGTCATCACACATCTTGTGCTTGGGTCAGCCCATTCCAGTTCAGCTCACACACCGTTGAACTAAACGTTTGTACAGTCTCTTGTGGCCGATATCTGTCCATATTAGAGGATTTAAAGGATGGTGCCTTCTCACTCCGCGGTGCACTAGCATGTCCCAGCCTGACCATGCCTTTGTTAACTTGCCTGTGAACAGTGCAGACGTTTTGGCCGTTTGTACTTGCAATTTCCATCTTATGGAGCATCAAAGCAGCAGAAGTGTGTTGGTGAAGGGGAGTGGGCTGTCTTCGTGATGATCCTTTTGTTCTGACCAATCTTTTAATGTCAGAGTTGCTTTGTAAAGGAATGAGTCCTGGCTCTAGTGTACATTAATTTGGAGAAAAACGCGCCACAAATTAACCTAATCAAGCATAAGTATTAGTTCTGTTGCTTAGCGCGCGCGTTTTACGAGAAGATGACGATTTCTGGTGAAGGTACGCAATCGTCCATCTTCCATCTAGGTAATCGCCAAGTATTCACGACTGCAAGAAAGTCAAGAAAATCGCGAAGCCTCACGCCTATGTGAGAACAAAGACTCTCATGCAGCAACGGTTGATCTAGACGCTGTTGAGTTCGTCGACGTGGTAGAGGAGCCGGCAAGACTTCCCTCTTCTGAACCCTGCTCAAGCTTCTCTCAATCGGAGGAGATCCCAATGCCTATAAGTTCCCCAGATGCAATCATTGAATCCCCAGTGTTTATGGATGACCTAGATCTAGATGTCGAGGAGCATCTTCCGCAGACTCAGGTGGAAATGGAGGTGGAGGTGCCTCCAGTTGAATGTCCTAGCACGCCTACATCAACGATTACAATCAGTGATGACGAAGACGAAGATGAACCACAGGTCGTATTTCGTGGGTATCCACCACCACCAAAAGACTTTCCTGCCATGCAAACACTGATGTCAGGAGACCGAATGTCTCTGCAACTGTCTTACGGTGGTTGTCTGGTGATATCCAGATCACAGCGACACGTTCTTCAACCAATTCCGACCATGGAGATGATTCGACAACAATGTCAGCAGCAGTGTCAGCGTCTGTTGTCACGGCCACCACGATCGGCTATGGGAAGCTTTATCAGGCGTTGAATTTAGGCAGTGGATGTAGGGTTACAGTCTCTGTATAGTTCTTAATGTGTTTGTTTACTGCTTGGATGTGTACAATGAGAAAATGAAGTCTACCTGGTAAATTGTGACTTTTATCATCAAATGAAGGTGAGGTGATAGCGAGCCTAGGCTTGAATCGCTTCAATGAAAAACGGAAAAGTAGCTCATAATTCTAAGAAAGCAGCAAGGAAGTGATGAACCAGTACCATGAACACTGTCGATCGCATCGAGTTGATTGATCACTTTGCTCTGGGATCGGTGCGCTCACCACCACTGTACCACGACGCATCAGCAGGAGGGAGCCACAAGATCAACAAGATTGAAGAGTTGAAAATGCATTTATGCTGTCATCTTAGTTAACAACCCCTTCAATGACGCAGATAAGCTTGTGTCCCATTTGCATTTATCGGTTTATTCGTCGGTTTAAATTTTTCGCCTCACTTCGTACACTGACAAGGCCATAAAGATACAAGTAGGAAAAAAGGGGTCAACAAACGAGCAAACTTGTTGTCATGATTTGCGCGTCTTCATGCATCCAACGGTGTTCTTGCAATCTGCCCTGCCAGCAGCTGTGTCATCTCCCGCGCAATCTCCACCTCTGGCATGTCCACCTTGTAGCCACTTCTCGCGTGCTTGTCCGCAATCTCCACCATCTTTTCGTACGCTTTCATTGCCAAATTTAACTTTTCAACTCGATTCCTTGGGGCTCCAGCTACAATCGTCTTGGAGTGCAGTCGTGCCGAGTAGAAGTGAGCCATCTACGTCCACCACGAAAATTAGTGCACATTGGAAGATGAAATGGAAATATGAGGGCTATTCAAAACGATCTGGGACTTGATTTTAAAATTTACTGAGTATGGCACCGTAGTGACAATTCCACTCTATTACACACTAAAAGCTGATATGAATTTCATGGAAGCGCCTTTTGTCCTCACTGCTTATCAAGACGCGGTGACGAGTGAAGTTTCTTGTGGACGATGAAGATCTGTGTGAACATCTGTGAACATCTACAGCGACTGTGGTAAGGCATTCAAAGGGTGTGGACGTTTCCGAAATGATCGGTCGTGTAATGCCTGATCCTGAAAACGTCGCTAAGGAAAGCACCTCTCACTCCTTGAAATACTGTTTTTAGTAGACCCCAAGTCCCGGTTTGAGTTGGGCACCTCATGATGTTGTATGCGTTCAAGACCTTACCAGAACATGTGGAAGCCATTCTTCCTCGTATAAGTCCGGCTCTCTCTGATTTGCTGGTGTCAGAAAGGAGTCTAACAGCCGCTTATACATTTCCAGAGCTCTTAGACCCAATCCATTCACCTTTTTCGCTAGTTTCGATAGTTCAGCAACGATATTGGTGGAGGATAAAGAGGAAGTGGGAGATGTTCTTATTGTGGTTCTCTGGAGAAAGAAAAATAAGTACAAAGAATTTACGTCTGAAATCGATCTCCATTAGGTCAGCTAACCTTCATCTTCTCCTCATTCAAGTCTCGAAGAGCGGTTAATGCCTCGGCACATTCAGACATGATAGTGCGACAAGCTAACATGTAAAATCGTGGATTTAATTGAGCAAGAAGATCCTCCAGAAGATCAACTCTTCGTTTCTGCATGCAGCACTAAAAGGGACCCATTGTTAAAGGAGCATCTTTACCATGATTACACTATAGCTGCGAGAATGCTTAAAATGGGAAGAAATTAAGTTAGAAGGTAGTTGTGGTCATTTAAAATCAGATAGTCAATGAAATCTATCTGGTAACTCAATGTTTAACTGATGCTCACAGCCGAGGTAGCTGGGAAATAAACTAAAATGATGAGTTGAAGGGAGGATTTGCTCTACCCTCCTCATTCCCGCCCAATTTAGCGTGGAATCTTCAGCGCTCAGACAACGACATGACAAGAACAAAGGGGTTTGCTCACCTTACGAGGAAGATCCGCTTCAAAAGTTGCCAGGAAGCCATATGCACTAGCGTGGGCTCTAATTAACTTAATGGCCTCCGTGCAACGTTCATCCAGCCGATAGTAAAGCAAAGCTTCGGAAAGCGATCTGCAAGTCCATCGGAATAGTCGTGCCGCAGCTGGATAGGCTTTCGGCATTATTGATAGTTCAGATATCATCGTCGTCAATCCTGTATCCTGGATGGGTTCACCGTAGGCTTCTTGCAATGCCTTAGTCGTGTCTTGATTAAAGAGATTGCCGTAGGATGGCGAGGTGTCAACGAGTTCTGGGTCGATCGTAAATCCTACAGTGTGAAGGGAATGAATAATAACGGACAGTATCACAAAGGAAAGCAGGTCCCGTATGATAAAATTAAAGGAGGAATTGTGCTTATAACAATAACTTCATAGAAATATTTAGGTTATGCAAAAATGAGTCGAAATTGTGGAAGGAATTTGGTGAGTATAATTTAAAAAAATTGATTTCAACTGCTGTTTATTGCAAATATTTTGGGGAAAAACTGACCAGCTAAGATGAGTTTTTCAAGATTTTATATAGGTAAGCACTTGTGATAAGGAAAATTAGCAACTTAATAACAAATAAATTATTATGCGTTTCCGAAAAGATAAGATTGCAATCTACTGTACCTAAAACTCGGATTTCACTAAATTTAACCGCTATGTAAGCGGTAGTGGGACTAAAAATTGTGCCTTAAAATGGACCACACAATATTTTATTTTCAAGGTTATTAATGGATGTACTTTGGAAATGAAACTTAATCAACTTGCTTACTTACTTTTACGTATAGTACAACGTAAAAGTCTTCATACCAAAGTTAGCAAACCTATTAGTTGTTTGGACGCACACTTTTCCTTCGAAATTTGATTTGTGGCTAAATTTGACTTTATCTAAGTCGGTTTTAGCCTAGCAGGAAAGGGTTTTCAACAAAAGGTGTTATTTAATAAGAGCTAACAATACTTCTACTCACTTGAGCCGAGTATGACCTTGCTTCCTCCTTCTAAAAGTCCAAGAGAATACTCTGACGTCAGCCAGGAAATGTCAGCCCATAATTTTGTTCCATTTAGATTGTGGCCCAGGCCACTGCTATTCCCATTTTGAAAACTCTCACAGACCACTCTACAAAAAGAGTCAACGTACACTGCATCTTCTACAGTCAAAGTAATAATTCCTCTGTATGCTTACGTTCTTGCCGTCATTAGGCATTCTAAAGCTTTTCCAAATTCCTCAGTTTCGACATAGTATTCACTTAATGCTGCCGTATTATTTGCCCAGTCCTTCGGATCGAAACGTTGAAGGCTGCTGACAAGCCAATCAGACGGAGAGACTGCAACAGAGTCCCTCTTATTCACTCTAATCTCCTTCTGGTTCGCAACGCCATAGGTGCTGAGGAGATTATCCACCACTGGCGAGAATTGCAGCTGTCTCCGCAGAGTTTCCAGACAGAACTCTGCTGCTTTCTGCTTCTCTGATTTGTTTTCGTAAACCTATTTTCCCCAAAGACTTAGCCTTGAATGAGCACTTGCCTGTGCAAGCATAAACAGAGTAGTCGTGTAGCCCGTTTCAAACATTACTTCTTTTACTAGGCAATCTTGTTCGAGAAGAGTAGTCAGCATTGCAAGGGACTCCCAGCATTCCGGTCTCTCTGAATCATCAATCATAAGTTTGAACTTTTCGTAAATGCTCTTTGCTTTTTCAAGCCAAAACAGAGCAGATTGTTCTCCATCTTTAGCGTCCACTTCAGTGGCTACAGCCAAAGAATTGTAGACATATTGCAGTAGACCAGAAAACTTGAGTAAGTCTTCCCTTGTTTCCAAGTCCACGCGAGATTCACAAAATTTAACAACTTCTAGAAGCCGGTTTCTAGCCTCAACACGTGGTTCTTCCGTTTCTATAAAGTTGTTTGCTAGCTTGGCAGTAAAAAAACCCCACAAAAGGGCAGCATCAAGGTTGCCCGTTGCAAGAAGGGCCTTAGCTTTATCAGCTTGAGCAATAAGAATTCCCCGAATTTTGTATTTGTTAGCGAAGATTGCTGAGGATTTCGGATCATTTGAAGGAGCGAATTCTAGCTGATAAAGCTCCTTAAATGATTTGGCAGCTTCAGTGTAAAAAGAATCCATCTTTTCATCCATACTTTGTCTAACGCAAATTTGAAGAGCATAGAGGTATACTGATGGACGGAACTTCTCACGGTTCTCGCAGTTATCAAGGGAAGCCAATTTTAAAAAAGGTACTTTATTGGAAAGCCATTTGACGTGGTTAATAGGTATTAGCGTAGCTATTTAAACAACTAAAGGGAGCTTACGAAGGACAATGCAGGTCAATGCTCGTTTCCTTGGTAGACATGCCCAAAGTCAGTCGACTAATGTCTTACTGATAGCGTGCGCAATGGCAGTGTCGGTGGTAGCAACGACCTTACAAACTTTTTGATAAATTAAAACGAAATAATAAACTGGGCAAGCATATCTTTTTCAATATTACTGCAATAAAATGTAACTTTTAATTAATTTGATTTAGTAAATGCTGTTTTTATGGTAAATGGATGCTATGCACTTTTAGTGTGAGGGAGAACATTACAAAATAAACCGTGCTAATTAACTAATAAGCCTATTTTTTGTGCGTCAATAAAGATGGCTTTTTGCCACTTTAAGCAGTGTTTACACAAGATATGACAGCCAGATATATGTAAAAGGAGTCACTTTCTGTTAGTTTAGCTCTTAACTCTGTGTTCAAGTCTTCCCCTCAACATTTGATTTATAAAGCCGTTATGGAGGATATTTGTCATAGTCGATTGGTTAGCAATGCAAGCGCTTTCCTTTTTAATTTGTGCTCATTTCCAGGGCAAGTTTTTGAATTTGCCTCTATGCTCCCATCATTTTCACCCTCTGATTATTTGATACAACGCTCAGTTTCCAGACTCTAGCAGTGCAAAAAAATGACATTTGTGGTTGGCTGCAAAAGCACAAAATAAAGGAATTGCCGAAACAGGTTACTGCAATTAGCCGTTATTACCAGTCATTTTAGTCGTATTTTTAGCAAGGAAGTAATTGAGAATTGCGGCGATGCTGTATTGTGAATTTGCCATTACACTTGTGCAAAAAATGCATATCGTGGATAAACGGTATCTCCTGCGTATTCTTAGTACGTTAATGGAATCCCGCTAAAAGGCCGGGCAGCAGCAGAAAGCAATTAAACCAGCAAGGAGGAGTAAATGCGAAATACTTGCCCAGTAAAAATTATCACTTATTAAATATCCCTGCTCCTGGAGAAATGCTCCTGTTGTTTGGCAATTAGCATGCGATTCACACCCGCTGCCGAGCATTAACTTCAGAATTTTTAAAGTCATATCACTCTGTATGACATGGCCTGGGTCAACCATTTTCCCCTGGAATTAAAGCGAGTGTCGAAGATTTGGATTCCGGACGAGTTCGGTGCCGATAACAACATGAGAGGAGACCTCTCAGCCTAGAGTTACTTGGTTTTTACGTCAAAGCCACCCTTCTGATAGCAGTTAACTATTAAATTATAAAGGTAGCATCTTTCAGGGCTCGAAGAGTTTTCACTATTGCGTGCATCAGGGGACCTGATTTGGCTCGAACAGGTTAGTTGTACTTTATCAGAAGTGCTCCGATCCCCAAAGGATTGATGAGAAATTTCGGGGAAAGGAATATGGATACGAGTTTATTAACTCCAGCATGGGCAAAAGGCCTCTTATGTACATGAAAACGCATCTCTGGATCTCTCTATACAGTTTCGGAAGTGTAAAAGGGGTTGACCTCTGCACACGGTGACGGAGATAAGTGGAGATTATTCCATTTGGTTGGTGTGGTGTGGGTTGAGACCTCCTCCACTGGAGTGACAATTGGTCTAAAATTTTGAGGACAACCTATAATTTGCCATCAACAAGTTTTTGTTGATAAATAAGGTATTCTACAGGTAGTGCAAATTGAGTTTCTTTAATTCCTTTCACTGTACATAAATGCACTGACTATCAATCTCTCTACAATCTCTCTACAATGTCCACTGGCGGCATTAATCTTAGCTAATACTTTTTTCGGTCCTTCTACTATCTTTTAGACCAACTTGCACAGTACATTGGATGCATCGTCAATGACCCCATTTTGGCTAGATACTATTCTAAAATGTCTTATTTTTATCAGTAGTTGAGTCTGCAGGAGCCGAGAATAGAACTGTTGCAAACTCATTGCACTTTTTTTCATCTACGCCAACTCTCACAATGGCTGTTAGCATCGTGTTTGAACGACTGAGACCACTTTGAGGAACAGTAGAAAAATGGTCACAACAACACCGTTGTTGACGGCCAAAACAAGAAGAAGCTGGGTAACGGAAGGACGTCCACTTTATGTGAGCCTTTACAAACCACTAAGACGTCGCCTGTACTCTAGAAGCATGCAGCTATACTCGGGACCGCCTGTAATATCGGTCTTCACGCCCTCTCATCAGCCTGTAATAAAGGCACCTTTAAAATTCGTACAGCCTATCAAGCCAAGAGGCACAAGTAAACAGGTGTTGTAACTCACAGTGGGATCATGCCATCGCCATGAATGACTGCAGTGATTTTGGCCTTTCGGGTTGTGGGATCTCCATCGGTGAGGTAGTTCTGCAGGTGGTTCACCACCTCCATCAGTCCTGGTCTTCGTGAAGCCTCCTGATTCACACAGCTACTCAACATGCATCCGAGAAAGTCATTTCCAAACCATCGTGCTATTAACGTCAATATGTTTTCACGCAATCTGAGGGTCTCACCCCATTCTAGGTGCCTTAGAATGCGTCTGACCTTCTCTGATACATTGGAAGACGACGTTGCAGAGTCGCAAAGAGTGCATCGTTGACAGAAGACCGATGCCAAGAGCACTTCCACTTGGAGCCAGCCTAAATTCTTCACCAACACTGGAGCTGTCGTCGACATGGAATTGTTGGCTAAAGGGTCTTCTGACCCTGATAACTTGAGACTCAGAATGGTAGATTCGAAAACTCTGCTAGGTGGCGGTTTTGTGGGTGGTTTCTGGGCGAATAAGAGCATGTTTAAGCATTTGAACGACAAACGCGGAGATGAGGAGGTTGAATTTACATGAACTTACCAGAATACTTGGGAGAAGTACATGTTGACCATCTTGAATGATGAAAACCTTGCTATGAGGAGACGAGGGTCTAACGTCCAAGAAATCCTTAAGACTTGGACCCACATCTACGCCTCCAGCAGCACTTATATTGCAATTTGACGTGGCTTCAGGAGGACACGTCTTGAGTTGTACCTTGCAGCAGTAGTTAGAAGACACTAGGACACTAGACGAGTCCAGTCGCTAGAATAGGAACAAATAACTTTTGCCTGTCAATGAGACACTCGCACATCATCTACTCTTCACGCTGGGAAATGCAAATGGCTGTTACGTAACAAATTCTCCCACAATCCCTTATGGAGTTCATGGGATTTCAAACAGGTTGGCAAGGAAGCTCATACGCACTTCAACTTCTTGCAGTGCTTATGTACATGCGTTCTAGAGCAGAGAGGACTTATGTCCTTCCGTCATGTATGATACTCCTCACTGTGCCTCATATGCCTATCACAACACCCATTAAACACGAGAGGTGGGGTTCATACTCGCCTGTTTTACGAGATAACGGAGTTAACTCGGTCGCAAGGCTACAGAACCCAACTTTTTGGAATGCCTGTGACATAGCAATTGGAGAGTGTGCAAATTGCTGTTGCGGAATCTACCACCCCACTGCAATGCCTTCAAACGCTTCGTTGAGCTGTGCTGATGCATCACAATTAAAGATGATGGTGCTGGTGCAATCCATGAAAATTTACCCTCTCCTCTTGAAAGGTAGGTAGGTGTACGAGTCAGTATCATCTCATCGCCTTAAGAAAGTACCATGCATGTCAATTTGTTAATGATAATTTAATTCATATTATTTAAATAGCGTGAGTGGTGATGAACCAGTCAGTAAACAGATTTATCAAGTGAGAAGAGAAGGTGGTGCTGGGGCTGATGGGTGATGCTTCTCACCCACATGCATTGAACAGATGATTACCAGCCGAAGTGACCATCCCATTGTCCTTCACTTCCTTCTCTCATGCTATATATACGCGCCGTGTATTCCTGACCGACCGACCGACCGTCAAAAGTACAAAAGAGCAAGGAGAAATGTTTTATTGTTCAAACCTTTGACAGGTGAGTAAACGTGCCATTAATGACTCCAAAACGATTCATTTGCTCTTTGCCTTTCACTCAGGAAGCAAAGGGGTATGAATTTTGTGGGTGTTTGTGAATGTAGGTTTGTGCGTGTGTGCGTGTGATGGACCTATGGAGACATGGTTAACCATAAATTGTCGATTCGTTGCAGATTCAACGACTAATCCTAAGACCTTTCTCCCTCTCTCTCCAGTAAAATACGGTATAATACACCACGAAAGTATGCAAAAGTCTTTTGTTGAGAGGCTGTCGGGACTAATAGATCATTTTGAACACAAGATCCCGTACCTCAAACTGCGTTTTGCAGCCTTGTTTTTGACATAACTAAACTTGCCATGAGAAGACGTCACATCACACTCACAGATGTAGTGGAGGGGGAAAAGGTCGAAGAAAAGTAGGTAAGGTCAAAAAGTGGAAGAAGACCGTCTGCCTAATTTTCACTCTCAATCTTCACACCCTCCAAATCATCCTGATTTAATATCCCTAAGCTCCAATTGTTAAACATCGCCTCTTCCTTGCATCAGCAGCAGACATTCGCACGACCACACACAAAAGGGAATGGACAGTTGAAAAGCAAACACGAGACAGAGTCGGAGGTGACAAGGGCTAGGTTTGTCTCCTAACGCCTAAAACCTCAGGACGGTTTGATAAAAGTGTGATCCACATCAAATTTTTATCCTATTAACTTCTGAGGCTCGGTTTTTATTTCAGCTTTTGAAGAGCAAAGCCCCGATAGGAGTAAAACTCAATTTCCCTCCTTTTTATTATAAAGCCGTAAAAGATGTTTTGATTGCCGAAGCTTTTATCGCCTTGGGCTACAATTTTCTCGATTTCCTATCAACAATTTTTAATGGTCACTAGCCGAATAAGACGATTGCTATTAATTGTCCACTTACTGACACATTTCCTTTCTACCGTATCCTAGCTAAGAATTACCTCTCCACTATAATCCTCTAAAACACTGCCTAACTTAGCGCCCACTTATGGCTAGCTTTGAAACCTCGGAGGAATTTTCCATTCCCTTCTCTGCTTCCGCTAGTCATGGCATGGGTGAAAGGGAAACATTATGACAGGTCTTGTAGAGTGATGTGTCGACTTTAGAGGGCTGATCAAGGCTCCCGAAATGCCAGTGCTGTTAAACTTCCTGTCAACGATTGAGTCTTTTTTGGCTCACTGACAGAGGAAGTGGTAGACGAAGTCCATCAGAATCCGTAAGGCATGCTCATATCGCTAAATGATTATACAAAGGGAGGAATAGATGCAAATAAAGGGATAGAGGGCTGCATCAGGAATAGACGAATGCATTTACGATGGATGGCGGATACTTCTCAGGGAAGAGTCAATCAAAAGCGAATGGAATAGAAGTTGGGGATAGATGAATGTATCAGAAAAAAAAACAAAAGATCTACTCAGGTTATGTGGAGAAAGATTAATCAGAAGGATCATAGACGAGTGAATTTGTGCTGAACGCCTAGGCAGGGAGAGAAGAGGCGACTCAAAAACTACCTCATAAGTACTTTAAATACACTGAGCTTCAGCAAAATATTCACAAAAACCGGGGGCACTGAGGCTGACAATTAACACGAAGTGAGAGCTATAAAGAATGCCTACATTTATAGCTCTTGCTTTTAAAACGAGCCACTTACAGTCTCAATATGGAAGATTGGTCTTCCATTTCACCTCCCCATCGTCGTTTAGGCGAAATCTCCTCCTGGTGTCTCTAGTCTAAAACTTGCGCATGTAATGGCATCGTAAATTCTATCCATCACTTCCTTCCATGGGCTCTTACTTCTAAAGAAATTTTGACCTCTCCCAGGCTCAGTCAAGCACTTAAAACGCTTGTGAAAAGTCGTCAGAATAGGACCTACCAAATTGTCAATGGAAAGGGAGACGAGGAAGGCGAAAGCGGAGGCGATTTGATGAAGCATATGGAAGACCGTCTTTGTGGAGAGAAGTGGAGAATGTGGCCGACTTTGGCTCTTTTTGTACTCCTCACAGCCCTCGAATCGCCCGATTTCCTATATTTGCAAGGGAAATACCCATCACGCCGCATACCACTTATAGATATGTGGGCAGTATGAAGAAACTTTAAACATGGCTTACCTAGCAAAGGACTAAAAATTTGGCTTAAAAATCCCACAACCCCTGAAAAAACGTTTGTTTCGATTTCACAAGAGTTCAGACTTTTGTGACTTATTTCGGACACTTTCGATTGCCGCGCCTTCATCCGCGCCCTTCTGATTGGCTGATATTGCCTACAGTAGGCCGCTGATCACTATGCTACCAAGGCCAATCGAATGCTAGAAATAGGGAAGACTGGGGGCCCTAATTTATTTCTAGTGTGCTCCATTAGCTAGCTATCTAGCCAGCCATCATGTGTGAGCGTGTAATGCCGACTTGTTTATGCCCGTCGGCAAATGAAGACGCCTGCATCGTAGTCGTGCCCAACGGCTGGAACCTCGACAGCATCCAGGCTCACGTGACAAACACCAGTTTATGGCATCTTTCTTCAGTGTGATCATGTAGCTGCCTTGCCTGTGAGGCTAATTAACACAGGGAGCGAAAAGAGAGGATGAACAACAAGTTGCGATATAGTAGTACATGGTTATCCTCATTTAGAACCACAGTTCATCACCCTGTACTGCGAAATATCGCATTAAGAGGAGAGAGAGAGAGTCCTGTCACGGACTACACAGTAGGTGTGCCGGAAGCACCTAGTTTTTTATTTCTGTGTGTTCATTTGATATGCGACAAATCCCAGACACAGTGGTAGCTATGAGTAGATGAATAAGAAAGTCCCGGATTTCTGTAAAAACATTCAACTTATAGCCTTCCAGGGGTAGATGCTCAGCTGTATTCAGCGGACGCGGAATAAGGGCACAGCGAACCGAATTCAAAAAGCATGAGGATGGAAAAAAGAGGGAAGTGGTATATCTGCCCATCCCTTGACTAACGACAGCGTAAACATCACTAGCATGTGTTAAATGGATGCATATGTGACTGATAGAGTCACAGGAACGTAAAATGTCATCTTGAAAAATGCGACACTACTCTAAAGGGCAATCCGGAGGTGTTGAGATGGTGACAGCGATGCGTGAAACCGGATCTAGCTGATTTGCTGTTCCAATTTCATTGGCTGGTAACCATGTCCGCAGACATAAGAAAAGAGCTGCCACCAAATAGGGATTCCTACGTTTATGTGTTCTTAAAAAGCGTTTGCTATCCAGATTTCATAGTTTGTAACATGTTTAGCGGTATTTTAGACGAGACTGGACACAGCGGCCTGAAGACATATTGACGCGTTACTATTAAAAGCTAGGGGTATGCAGAATATGTCCTCTGTGAAGCACTATTTCTCAAGCAAATCCCTTCTAAATACGGCTTCACTAAGGGAATGAAACTAAACAGATGTTAGTGAGAAAATGGGGCTTCGCCTAGATAAGGAAAACATCAAATCATCTTCATTTCTGTGCCCCGATGGACGGCCTCTTACCTGACGATTTAAGAGAGCAGCCATGGGAAGCGTACGAAGAAAGGTGGTCTAAAGAAGAGGAGCTATTACACAAAGCTGTTTTAACCTTATAAACGACTACTCAGTCACCATCTTGGTGACACGACGTGTTAATCTTGTATATGGCCACCCACCCCTTCTGGAGTTTTGGAAATCTCCCAGGTAAAGTATAGGATTAGAAATCTATAAAATTGTACGCAATTTTAGTCTGTGGTGATAGAATATCATAGAGTAGATAACTTTTTTATATTGTAGGCAACCGATACTCTTTTAAAATGTATATTTACTAGCGCGCCTCATCACCCTACGCGGGTTGGTATTCATCAAATCGCACGGGATGGATATCGAACCAAGTGTTGGCTCATTGCATTCTTGCTGTACACCATATGGTATTGACTGTCTAAGTCGCACGAGGCCCCTAGAAATCCTCGGTCATGCGCCTCAACAGATGTAACTGCCCACAACATATGCCTTCCTCCGCGACGCTCTGATATGGTGGAAGGCCGGCAAAGTCTCGATTGCTATCCACCTTAATGGAGTTCACTTATCGCCACCACGAATACAACATCTGGAGTCTTTGCAGAAGCATGGTATATTAGAAACGTGTCAAAGGGCTGGAGGACTGTATATATAGCCTTTCAAACAAACCGGCGCAGCAATCAATGCTGTCAAGGAGTGATTTTGGCAAATGCAACTTTGTTTAACAGCCGATTAAATAACTTATAATTTCCTCACAGAGTTCCAACTAATCTCCTTAGCAGAAGTTCGAACAGGAAAAAGTGCGGACCCCTTTAAGGAGGCCGCCACTAGAGTGTTTGAGGTCAATGCTCCAAAGCATCAGTTGAAAAACTAAGGCTTATCTATTTAAACAATTTTTGAATTCCTCCTCCTTATTTATCAGAGTGTAAATACTTTTTTTGAAAAGGTTATTACAGTTTGTACTAGTTTGCTCATCCAAGATAAAGATATTTTCTGAGTTTTTTAAAATGCCTTAAATTTGATTTGTCTGAATTTTTTATGTTTTAAAACCAACTGGATCCGGGAACTGAAGTAGCCTTTTCAATAAAATAACTTAGGATTAGTAGAAATTTGCATATACATGCCTGTTTATAAGTAAACGAACGAGAATCATTTGCTTTGTAAGCCACTTTAATCTACCCACCTCAGAATGATACATGCAGTGGCGCATTAGTGCTGGCATAAATGGGAGAGTCTTTACGCAAATTGATAGTTCGCCTTCAACTTTACTAAAACAGCCTTGATTAGGCGAATAAAATTGCCAAATTAATGGTCCACATTCCATCACTACTGTCTGTTTGAAAACAAAATTTTACTGTAAATTAGGGCGGTAGACAAAATGAGATTAAAGCTAACCATTTTAAGTGCTAAGAGCTTTCAATTATAAAATGATTGATGATTATTTGTAGGTACTTTGAACGCAGAAAAGTTTTTTGTGTTGAAGTGAACAAAATTGCGCCTAGCCGTAGACATCAGTGTGTGACAATCCCAGAAAACGATTGTTGTGTAGGAATGACGTTCAAATGAGTGTTCCATCGCCACAGGTATTATGCTGGGAGTGTCCTGCACTAGTGTACATTCTCAAATTCAGATGCACGCCTTCCTTCTCAGAAAGTCCTGCTCACTATTACGAGGCGTTCCGTGGATGCGCTCCCGCCATTGCCACTGTTTACCGCCACTTAGGTTGAAGGTATGTCCTCCAGCAAACGCTCAGCATGCGCACTTGGTGTTTGTAAAATCCGACAAGCAGAATTTTATGCCGATAAAGTCAAAAGATCCGCATTCTCTAGACCACCTTTTACGTAATCTGCCGACTTCTGCATAAAACATCCCCCAACTCACCGAGATTAAGAACTTATCGAGTCGGCCTAGTGCCATGAAGTCATAAACGAGGAGGTGAGGCTGGACCGCCTTCAGGATTCCATGGCAAAAGACAATTCGCGGATGCCTGATGCTCGCGGCGATTTCAGCAACTCTAACAGCAGAGTTGGGTAGGGCTGGACGAAGGAAAACTTTTCGTGCTGGCAGTACATTGTTCTCCACAGGAGGTGCTAGTTTCAGCAGTCCTGAAAACGTCTCTCCGTGACGACCTAAAAGAATAAAAAAAAATGGAAAATATCCATCTAATTTGCGGTTTATTTTAGATATCTTGTTCTACTTTTCGAAAATTAAGTCGTGTTAGCTCCAAAACCTCGCCCACGTCTTCATGACTCTAGGAAAACTCGACAAGTTCTTGGAAGTTGGAAGCTTAAATAAGATGTTTCCAGGTCAACGCGCAACATTTGACTTTACAGGCAGCAGATGAACTGTGTCTGCTTTCCAAGCAGCTGGAGTCAGTGTCTAGCACGCGGCAGGCAACACAATGGTGGTGTTGGTGGTGATGGTAGTAGTAGCAGTGGTAGTGATAGTAGTAGTGGTAGTGGTGGTGGTGGTGGTATTGTCAAAGACAGCTGGGCTAGCGTTTATCTACTACGAGCTCATCCATGGTGGTTTTAATGCCGGTCCAAAGCACAGCAGTCATTCATTCCAGTAAACAAACATCCACCACGTTATGTATCGGCATGCCTGATGCAGACATGATCTACCTTCTGAAGAAATTACACATGAGCCATATATTCCTTTCTTAACAGCATTGAAGGTAGGGTAATGATGGAGGAATATTCAGGACTGTGGAAAGTTGATGGGAGCTGGACACCATGAAAGTGGAAAGGCAGTGAGGAACGCTGGAATAAGTATGCAAATACGGTGGGGTAGGCTTATACTGAAACAGGAGAGTGCAGTCGCTATTCACTGAATTGCGCCCCTTGCTCGAATTGAATTTCAAGATCTCGTTTTGACTTGAACACTCCCTCAAATCAAGAGGATGAAGGCAATTTTCTGTGCACCACAGATGCCTCATTAGCTCTCCTCATCTAGCCCACTGATACACTTTTAGCTTTGAAGTAAAAGTCATCACTCCCGCCAGAGTGGACATGGCTGTCGATCTGATCTGCAAATTACCCCAAATTGGCACGGGGAGCATTAATAGCCCCATCACGGGAGCTGCAGATTTAATCAAACTAGGTAATATTTTCTGCAAAAAATCTTACTACTTTTACTGCACCAAAATTTTTTCTGAAAAAGTTCTAGTTCTTGATTTTGCTCTCTTACCAACACGTTGCTCATGAGCCAATACAGAGACAGGAGATTTTTTTGAATCTCTGGTGGCAATTAAACTTGATTTTAACATAAAAGTAGGAAAAAAGGGAGGAATGTTTAGATAAAAGTGAAATGGGTGGGTACAAAGGCCTTACATTTGCCCAGAGGTTTTTTCATTTCAACGGAGGTGGGATCTACTGTCAGGAGTTGGTGGTAACTCGTCTGTCCAGCTTGAAAGAGGGCGTTTCGATACTCCATCGCTGTGGTGTTTAGTCCACTGACTATGTTTGGTAAGAAAAGAAAGTTTGTAAGGAAAATTATCTTATTTTTTGCTTAATTTTGAGCAAATCCACGAGGGATTTCCGGTTTCAAATAGCAGGGTGGTCTGTTTTGTTTTAGATTGTCCTCTAGTTTTTTCCCCTTTATTTAAAAAAGGAACCTGAGACCCTATCTTGAAATTACACCTTTGTTAGTTTTATCGTATGAAATAACTTGTCTTTCGTTCTTTTTCAGGTGTATCAGTCGCAAAATGATAAAGCGTGCTTTGTTTTACCTTATTAGAGGAAGGGCTCCTTTTATAATAAGGAGAGCAACCCGAAAAAAAAGGAGAATTTGTAAAGGGGATCCTACAAGAAAATTAAGTGGAATTCCTGGTCACACGAGATTCCCAAGTCTTTTTTTCATACTCCTTTCAACTCATAAGGCGGAAAGGTTGTCCATTAAGGTGGCAGACTGTTTAAAAAGGCGACAAGCTTTAGCCAGTTCAGTGGGGGGTTGTCTGCATGTTTTTAAACAAAAAATGGTTATTTTTTTCCTTTTAGGGTAAAATATTTCCCTTTCTAATCCACTGTCTTTCAGCTAAGATCGCGGTTGTCTGTTTACCTGGTTGTTCGGCATTATTGACAAGTCCGTGGAGTCTCTTGTGCGGTCGACGCTTGTAATACCTGTAGTAGAGAATAAAAATTAGGTAAACTTTAAACTTTGTTTATTGAAAAAAGGGTGACGATACTTCTAAAAGCAAAGAAACCATTTTAACGAAAAAAGGTAAGAAGTGAACAAAGTGGAGGAACACAGATAGCGCTTGAAGACGAAGACGAATTCACCTTCTGGTTGGTTGGTATCTTCTTAATTATAACGAGGTTAGGTGCTTCGCTTTTCTTCATTGGGAGCACCATCTTCAGTGGTGAAGCTCTGCCTCCATCCTCCTTCTTCAAATCGGACCATCACCTCAAGGTTCTTGCAGGGCAAACGACCACCCACTTTCATGTTTCTGCGGTTGGCATTAATAGCGGAGGGACGGTTATACATGACAGTCTATCATATAAGACGTGTGGAAGAGCGCAAACGAGGGTGAATTACATCACTGCCCAAAACACCTCACCATATGCCTACCCGTACAAATGATCTAACCGTAGCAATGGGACAGTCAACTACCAAGGCTCCACTTCTGGCGGCGGTGGTAGGTTAAACTTAGACCAACTGAAACACACTCCTAGTGAACAGGTTTGCCGACAAATTGGCTTGCAGACAGATGTATCACATCATATACAAGGAGTCCGAGTAACTTAAACAATTTACAAAGTTGAACGAAGGTAACCTTCTATCGGGTTTGAAGTGTCCTACCACCTTCATAACAATCCGGTGAGGTAAAGCTCTACTTGTTTAGACGTATATATGTAACTGCACGGGTTCTTTTGTCGTTCCAGGTTGTACACCCACCTTCTAGACCTTCGACACCCCTTTAAGCCACCATGTATCCACGTTTTTACGTTTTATCACAGATTTAGAGAAGCCTCCATCTGTTGCATTCGTGGTGGCGGTAAGTAAATCCCATCTAGGTGGACAATAAGCCCGACTTCTCCAGCAAACCTCCACGTGAAAGCATCAAGAAGGAAGGCGCATGATGTGGAGGGTTGACTCCCTGGAGAGGCATGAAGGAGGGGTTCTTGGGAGCTCTTCTAACTGTGCCAATCTGCACAATGTATTGTACAGCAAAATGGCAATAGACAAACAACTGGCGCACTATCTGGCTTGTTAATGAGTCCTTGCCTTCCCTACATACCTACTCCTTTCCAGATAGATAAGTGAGTAACAACAACTTTAAAATAGGCTGGCAAGCGAGAAGAAATGCTAAAATTTAACTCTGCGAAGCCACTTGGCGCTAAATAGTTGCCTTCGGAGAAATGCTCGAACAGATAGCACCTGTCAACCGAAATATATTTGCACAATAGGCCGCCCCATTCTTGAGCACGGTTAAGTCAGTAAAGCTTTTAATTTGACACATTTTGTAAAGGGGAATGGAGCTTCAGGGACATTGGACTGGGCGGGTACAGCGACAGTACATTCCTTTCTGGCTTGTGGGTGGCTTTTAAATGCTATTGTGGAAACAACAGAGTAGAGTGACCAGAAGGGGACGCATCCACGACGACACTCAAGGGTGAACAGAAGTTAGGCAGTACACCGCAAGTTCTTCAACCATGCGTCTAGTTTGAGGATCTCTTTTAGACCCTCGTGTTAGGTCTACACCACTCCAGCTAGTCTGTACACCAAAAACTAATCATTTGGTAAGGCTTCAATAAAAGAACGCAACCTAAAATGACTTAAAAAATATAAGTAGATGTGCAAATTAGGCGATATATTAAAAAAGTCATTAAAAGTCCCCTAAACCACGTAAAAGGGAAAGGATTTTTAAACCAATTGGTTCCGGATTTTTACGGAATTCAACGTTTGCTATACATTCAAGTTAGTCAAGACAAAAAGCCTTAGTGCCAAAGTAGACGAGGAGATTCTTTCCTCTTTCCAATGGTGTAAAAGAAATCCTCATTCCTTCCAACACATTGCCTTATTTAGAAAACGAGTAATTTTCCGGCTATTCGTTGGGAAGAATATCTAGAATCGCCAAATTCCTTCTGGGGTTTAAAGAGCATCAGTGGAAAGCAAAACATCACAGCACAATTTAAACAAACAGGCAGAAAATATCGAAGTTACAGCCTTTTTCCACTCATGCACTCGCCCAGTCAGTCATTCATTCAGTGATTCTCACAATTACTTGACGGTTTAAATTAAGTCGTCTTTTTTGCCGTTTTTCTTAATGTAAGTCGGATTTTCAGCTTAAAAATTTACTTGATAAACCGAAACAGTTGTTTTAAGCAGCGTTAACAGGCTAGTCATTTCAACTTTGAATTGTGATTAGTATTATTAAGAAGGAGGACATTTCACCAAAAATTGTCCTTGTACCTAGGAATGCACCAGGCAACTTTAATAAATGGTGCTCCTATAAAGGCACAGACGCAAATGATTGGTTGGTTGGATTGAAGCATTTTGATTGGCTACTTTCCGAGGCGATTAAACAGCGAGACATTAACATGGCATGTGGAATTGTGTTGCTTACCTCTACCATGTTATTCACACATTTTCTCGCCATGAATTTGCCCAATTTTTTATATTTAAGCTCTTCGTCCTCCCTTGCAGCACTCCATTCACCCAGCCCACATAAAATCACCGGATTCGTTCATCCATTTGCTCGTTCATTTACTTTATTTCCATTTCAGGCAATAAATAAATAGCAAATTTTAATTCCATTTAATTAAAATTTCTAAAAATACGGGATCATTGGAATGTCTACTCCAATCAGTCAGGTTCGCCTTCGTGGGAGGCGTCTAGGCATGGGAACACTCCGACGATTAACTTCCCCATCAAAAAAATTATCAAAAATTACTGCAACCTCATCTACCAAAAATGTTGCAGCAACAGTTTCATTTTCATCAAATTTGTCGCCTTTTTGACATTTTCAACAGTTGTTCTACCGACTGATCAAAAGTACCTATTCCCTTTTCCTTACTTATTTGCCTTGTTTCTTCTTTTTTCCCCCTCGGCATCTTCCTATTCCACATTCGGGGGTTTTGTTTTATGTAGAGATGGCGTTAGACACACCAGACCCTAAAATTTGGGGGAAGAAAACGGGCTAAATGTGTACACATATACAAACGCACAATTTGTCATTCGAGAGACCTCTTTCCTGTCTTACGGACTGACTTTTGGAAGGGGTCATTTAATATGGAAATGGTTAGGAACCAAGCCCCCACCTGATGGATGGTATCCTTCTTCTGAGGCACATTTCATAACTGAAGATAAATTGCCAAGAGATTCAACTTAGAAATGAATGCTCAGCACTACAGCAAAAAGCGACCAAATGAAATTGCGCGCTTTTCTCACCAACAACTGCTGAAGGCCGTCAGCTGCACTTAAAGAAGTAGTCGTCATCAGAAAATGTCACTTTTGCCCGTGAGGTCGAGACACAATTCAAGTTCATTAAATGTTATTGCTTTTATGCATGTCAAGAAGAAAACTCTTCACCCTTGTCACTTTTGTTTAAAATTCTATTTTGTGCACAGACTGTCTATTCAACATTTCATGTGAACATGGAATGATTTTTCAGCACAACAATACATACACATACACGCCAAAACCTGAAAAAAGTCTCACTTTATGGCTAGGAGTAATGTGTATGAGTGTATTCTTCTTCCACGCAAGTCAATCAGACTGTCAGTCAGTCAGTCAGGGAGGGTGAGGATAAAAATGAGGGGAACATGAACGACTTCTCTTCACTCTTCTTCTGTCCTCCCTTAATATCCCCATTTACCATATGACCTATTCCCACT